AACATATCTAATGAATTGTTTAGACTTGTTTAAATCATAAAATATATCCACAATATCTGTTATTGTAACTTCCAGTGACATACTCGGCGATTCTGTCGGCGTCTTAATTTCGTTCAACATATATAGATATTTTTATGCTTCAAACCCAAAATATATAGAATTTATACAGGAATTCATGCTGGGATTTTAAGAAATGTCGTTTTAGCTTGATTTGAGTACATAAGAATAGCCTCATTTTGTAGATATCACTGTTTATTGTCTACTTGTACATAGATTTACAATACTGTTTACATTTTCTATAGATTCTAAATTGTTTCATTACATTTCAACAAAATTGTCATAGATTTATTATCAATAATAAGTTGACCTATATGCCGATTTAATAAGTAAAACATTGCATAATTTTACTTTTTCCTGAACCGCTAGGACTAAAAAGAAAAACTTTACAAAATGTAGATCTGCTATGGATTTGAATAATTATCTCACAATAATATAAATATATTAACTGAGAAGGAACATTTGTATATTAAAATTTATATTTTCAGATATTATGAATAGAAATCAAGTTACCTCTAGATATCTTTGTTTTTCGAGAACGATAGCTGCATTTGGTCGCAAAGGACTTCTCAAATATTGGTTCGTTCGTGTTACACGATTGTACATAGAATCAAACAAATAAATACTTTGCAGTAATTACTTCTCAACAATTATATATATGCTGTTAAGAATTTGTTGTTGATGCATTGAAAATTGATTATTTATATACATTTACAGAAAACTAATTTCTAAATTGTGTAATGTAGGGCAGTACCATTTACTCGTATGTGTCAGACATAAGCCACTACGTGTGCCAATTTCAAATATATATTTTTTGTTTGGTGTTATTTATTGAACACACATGCCAAACTCGTCATTGGCTACATATTTTTACAGGTCTGGAATTTCATAAGAACCAACACATTTGATCTGGTTAAGATATTTTTTTTGAAAATTTTAGGGCATTTTTATGGGGTTAGTGAACCAAGCCCTTTGCAATTTTTAACTGGTGCCGCGGGTAGCCTAGAAATTATTTAACCTGGAGTCATGAACCTTTCCAAAAATGTTGATCAGCATATGAAGTTGTGTACCTGTGGATTTACTTGTGGATTTTTCGGTATTTGTTGAATTATTGCCCTTGACTTAGTGTAAATTTGCAATTTTCAACGTGTGTCGTGCGTATCCCAAAAAGTATTTTACCTAAAGTCAAAACAATTTACATAAATGTTGGTCAGCATGTGTAGTTGCGCACCTGAGGTTTAAATTGTTTTTTTTTTTTTTGTTTTTTTTCAGTATTTGTATAGTTATTGCCTTTGACTTAGTAAACAATTTCCAATTTTGAAATTGTGTCGTACATATCCAAAAACGTATTTGACATTGAATCCTGAAACTTTTTAGTTGATTAGCTTGTGTAGTTGTGCACCTGGGGTTTTGCTTGTTGATTTGATCAGAGTTATTGATAGATCTAACTCCGAACATTTATTTTGAATAACTTAAGATTTAACCACAAACATCGACATGTTTAACGTTGTTGTGTAGCATTCTTTGGAACTAAGCCCTAGATTCGAAGGTTTTCAGGGGAAATCAGTTTTGATTTTTCACCGATTGAATAGAAAGACAGGATGAAGCACTCAAAGAGAGAGGGGGAGATTAACGGGGATTTAACAATCCGATTTATCCCGCGGGTGGGAATGTTACCAGGGACTTAAAACGGACATATTTTTGTTATATTTTTCGATATGAATGTTTGGTACAATTTGTATATACATGTACTATGAATTTTCTAGAACGTTTAAGATGTTATGGATTAGGTGATTTAAAAGCGTAAATAGTATGCTGTGATAACTGTTATAGTTTCGTAGAAATGAACGTGAATCGTCCATATTTGTTATATTCTGAACTTAATGACAGAAGAGCCGCTTAGATTACTTTTACTTTGAAAAAACAATGACGCGATTTAATAAATGTGTATCAATTTATGTTATTCTTAGATTTAATATAGGAATGTTGGAATACTTGCATTCAAGAAACATTATATTGTTTAAAAAATGTATCCAGATTGTGTAAGATAGGAATATAATTAAGACAATCATATACATTGATTTTCATTTTTCAATTTTTGATTGTATTTCATGTTTTCTTTGTCTGCGCATAGGCAGGTCTATTTTTTCACGTGTTTTTCATGACTGGGTCTGTCTGACTAGAACAGACCTGTGCACGTGCAAGAGATAGACCTCCTAACGGACTTTCTTTTGTTTAAACAGGTCTACCCGAAAAATATAGACCTGTCACAAACAATAGAGGAGGTGTGTAATAACTGAGAAGGAACATTTGTATATTAAAATTTATATTTTCAGATATTATGAATAGAAATCAAGTTACCTCTAGATATCTTTGTTTTTCGAGAACGATAGCTGCATTTGGTCGCAAAGGACTTCTCAAATATTGGTTCGTTCCTGTTACACGATTGTACATAGAATCAAACAAAGAAATACTTTGCGGTAATTACTTCTCAACAATTATATATATGCTGTTAAGAATTTGTTGTTGATGCATTGAAAATTGATTATTTATATACATTAACAGAAAACTAATTTCTAAATTGTGTAATGTGTAATGTACGGCAGTACCATTTACTCGTATGTGTCAGACATAAGCCACTACGTGTGCCAAATTTCAAATATATATTTTTTGTTTGGTGTTATTTATTGAACACACATGCCAAACTCGTCATTGGCTACATATTTTTACAGGTCTGGAATTTCATAAGAACCAACACATTTGATCTGGTTAAGATATTTTTTTTGAAAATTTTAGGGCATTTTTATGGGGTTAGTGAACCAAGCCCTTTGCAATTTTTAACTGGTGCCGCGGGTAGCCTAAAAATTATTTAACCTGGAGTCATGAACCTTTCCAAAAATGTTGATCAGCATATGAAGTTGTGTACATGTGGATTTACCTGTGGATTTTTCGGTACTTGTAGAATTATTGCCCTTGACTTAGTGTAAATTTGCAATTTTCAACGTGTGTCGTGCGTATCCCAAAAAGTATTTTACCTAAAGTCAAAACAATTTACATAAATGTTGGTCAGCATGTGTAGTTGCGCACCGGAGGTTTAAATTGTTGTTGTTGTTGTTTTTTTTCAGTATTTGTATAGTTATTGCCTTTGACTTAGTATAAAATTTGCAATTTTAATTTGTGTCGTACATATCCAAAAACGTATTTGACATTGAATCCTGAAACTTTTTAGTTGATTAGCTTGTGTAGTTGTGCACCTGGGGTTTTGCTTGTTGATTTGATCAGAGTTATTGATAGATCTAACTCCGAACATTTATTTTGAATAACTTAAGATTTAACCACAAACATCGACATGTGTTCTTTTGTTAACAAATATGTTGTGGTGAAATCACTATTGTATCCACTAATCAAGACAGGTCAGGGACCTATGCATTGCCCTCGACTTAGTTAAATTTTGAAATTTTTAACTTGTGTCGTGCATACCCCCAAAAAATTGACCTAATGTCAAGAAACTTTACAGAACTGTTGGTCAGCATGTGTAGTTATGCACCTTGCGTTTAATTGTGGATTTTCTTTCAGTATTTGTAGAAATATTGCCATTGGCTTAGTTAAAACCTGCAATTTTCAACTTGTGTCGTACGTACTCTCAAAAGGTAGAGTCATTGAAATTTACGGAAATGTTGATCAGCATGTGTAATTGCGCACCTGGAGGTTGATTGTGGATTTTTCAGCATTTGAAGAGTCATTGCCCTAGATTAGTACAAATTTGCAATTTTTTACTTGTGTCGCATATACCTAGACTTTGACAGAACATGTATTTGTGCACCTATGTTTTCCTTATATGTTTTATCAGAATTTGTAGAGTAAATGCCCTTGACTTAGTAAATTCTAGGATAATTAGAACATGAATGTTCTTTAGAACAGCCGACTTTCATGCATGAACTTGTCAAGCTTCAATTTTTATTTTTGAGCTCTTCATTATTTTTGGGGGGATTTCCAGATAGATACAAAGTCAGTCAATGATATTGACGCTGATCAGAAAGAAAAGCAGCATAGTGCATAATTTTATTTATAAGATATGTTAATTAAAAAAATCAGTTATCAATAGACACACCTAAGCAAAGATTATATTATCATAATCTGAAATACTTTTTACTCAAATTGAAGGGATTATAATTCAGTCCTTAAAGCTGCACACCTCCAGATGAGCCAAAATAGCCAATAACAAGAAATTCAATCTTTGGATAAATTAATTATGACCTTTAGAAAAATAATGGATTCAATAATTAATTAATTATTTAAATGTTTCATGTATGCGCGATTTATGACTGTTTTTGCGGTATCATTCACTATAATTATATTGCGTTACTAACGCAGTAAGATGTATTTATGTATATTTTGACCTCTTTTTGGTAACTAACGTGGATTGTAAGTGCCGTTTGCATTGTGTTATTAACTTTCTTTGTTCATTTCACAATACTTTATTTTTAAATACATTTTTAAAATTTTCATGCAAATTGGCATGAATCTGGAGGCATGCTGCCTTAAAACATGTTTACAAAATACATGGGGTGCCCGTGGCCGTTAAGGTCGTTGACTTCAAACCACTTGTCCCTCATCGCTAATGGCTCGAACCCCGACATAGACTTTGAATTCTTTCATGTGAGGAAGCTATTCAGCTAGCTTACGGAACGTCGGTGGTTGTACTCAAGTGCCCGGTTGTGCGAGAAATAATGCACAGAAGGACACCTGAGGTATTCCTCCACCAGTAAAGCTGAAACGTCGCCATATGGCCGTGACGTAAAACCCAAAACTCAAACAAACAAAAGATATTCTTTTCTTTGCCAATCGCTTGCACCAGAATATTCTTATCAAAGACTTATTTTTCCACTTTTATGTCGCTACTTTAGACCCAAGCTTGAGGTTGATTGAATCACTAACACATGTTCCGTTTAATAGTTTAATATTACTTTCTCAGCGGAATACCACAAACTATATAAAATATGCATAGGTTATCCTGTCGTTATATATAAATAGAAAGAACAAGAGCAACCGCAGGTCGGGGGAAACGCTCGACGTTTTAACTTTTAAGAGCAAACAAATAAATTGTTCAAACAAATCTTTGTAAAGAAAAATTTTTAAAAAAGTTTTTTTTTCTTAATTTTAATAGGTCTGTCTAGTCACACTTGTTGTTTTGCCAAGAATGATTCATTTCCATAAATCAATAACAAATCAATAAGAGAATATAATCAAAATTATATCATTTGATAGTCAAGGTCATTTAAAGGTCAAGGTCATATCTAAAGTATTCAATATGTATGTTTGGTCATCCGTGTTGTTTTGTCCACATATGAATTTAATCCTTACATATATAACAAAATTATGACAACTTAACCAAAATTTAATACTTTGACCTTGATGGTCAATGTCAATTAAAGCTTAAGGTCAAGATCAGTCAATTTTAAAGAATGTGAAAAGCTTATTTTGTAATACATCTGTCAAGGTCAACTAGAGTTTGATGTACATGATGGGTCTGACATAAAGGATGATTTTTCTTAATATGAGGTCAATCTAATGATAAATTACAAAGTTATAACTAGTTACAAAGAGAAACAAGAGATTTTTTTTTAAATGGCCTTGACAGTGAATGTCGATAAAAAGGTCATATCTTAATTATTCAATATGCTTGTGTTGAACCAAGTCTTGCTTTGTTAAAATTTAAATCAAATACGCACATTACTAACAAAATAACTACAAATATTACCAAAATTCAAAAATTTGACTTTGTTGGTCAATGTCATTTAAAGGTTAAGATCAGTTTAACATTTTACAAAAGGTTGTTTAAAAAGAAAATTCAAACCAACCTTTTGTAAAATGTTGAACTGATCTTATGAATGAAGGTCAAGGTTTTCTGGTATAATTAAAAGTATTGTGTAAAAGGTTGTCGTGGCAAATATGAAGACAATAAACCAAGAACTTAAAACTTTTTTTATCAAGATACAAAATTGCGGACGGCAACGTCAACGATGAGGTGACTGTAATAATACCTTTTCGAGCTAAAACAGTTGCATTTATGCCTCGTCGAAAGCCACAATGTAATCTCTTGGAAATCCAGATTCTTATTGTCCATTTTTTCTCTTTACCAAATTTTTGTTTTACACAGACCAATAAAATTTCAACATCTTTGTTTTTTGAATAACAAAATTACCAATATGATTTCATAATAAGGTAACATAGCAACATGGAATTTCAACAATCGTATCCTGAATATTTTATCAGTCATTAGTACAGACAGCTTAATTGACATTATCACCTAAATGTAATAAAATTTCTAGCACGATTGATTAGACAAAGAGGAAAAGCCACATTAAATCTTCTGGTTACAGATTATTAACTTTACATATGTTATTAAAACATTAAATATTTGCGACTTAAAATATGTGTTATTTTAAAGAAAAACTATGCTCATCCTTGTGTAAAATGTTTTCATCACAGACAATCTTTGAAATCTATGAAATTCTTACTAAATATGGTTAATTTGGATACAATAATGAATAAACTATGTATCAAGGCTGCGTTCACGTAAAGTTGGTCATTCCTTAAAAACAACTACCAGACTTTTAATGACATTAAATATTCATATTGTTAGCACCTTTAGTTTGTAGAGTTTAAATTATATCTACTTTGCATGGATCAAAGCATGCTTTTTATGTCTATAAAGAGACTGTGTAGCAATTATCAATATTTTAATATAAAATTTCAGCATAGTATATGTTTAGTACATTCTTCTGAAAATATGGTACTTTTAAATAAATACATGATAAAATGTAAAATTCTCTGTGTTAAAAAGTATATAGCATGCATATTTATTCTTTTTTTCCAGGTAAGTCTTTAGACGATCTGAAAAATATAACATCAATATAATGTAAGTAATCTTATATATAATAAATAAGTTATAATTCTAATTGTAATTTTATTAATCGACTCTATGACAGGTTATTAATCAAATCTGTCCCAGAGAAAATGTCATAACCGGTATAATTATTCATAACTGAAATGCGATTTTTAATGACGTCATCCATTGACTTAAATTGATTTGACGACATGACATTGTTATATAAGGAAATTAAAAAATGTAAGATATTATTATCGGTGTTTAAATTTTGTCCAATGAACAATAATTAGATGACATGACATCTTACCTGGTCTTTATGCAGAGATATGTAGCAACAATCATGCCAAGAACGCACAATGATACAATACCCACTGTGAATAGAGATGAAATAACACTTAATTATAATAACGTCATGATAGTCGCCAAACAACATAGAGTTTTACAATATGCATCATTCATAATTAACTTTATTTTGATATTTTTTCATAGATATTTAGACAAAACCGTACAGCTTTTTTTCCATATATTTACGTGTTTTTTCAAATAATGTTTTCTTCCCTGATTCAACGGTAGATATAGAGGATGTAAATAAACATTTTCCTTAATTCTTTGTAATCATTGTAAAAAGAATTTAAAATGTTTACATTTTTGTTGGGAGAAACATGAATGAAATAATTGTCTGGTCCTCTATACATGTCCAAATAATTATAAAGATCAGCGTGCAACATATCAGTCAAACTTGTAAGCAAAGAAATAAAGTAACCAGCAAATGTATTTGGACTAAAGTTTCTTTCTTCTTGTGTATTCTTTTATAAAACATGGGTTTTAAAGAATGTTTATTATAAAAAAAATCTTATTGTCAGAATTAAAGAAAGATAAAGCTTAAATGTAATAGTTACCTATTGCACGATCATGTAATCCTGAAACTGAAATATCAGATCGTAAATGAAGGCTTCTCGGGAAATAAGTTTTTCTGATATTATAGGCTCATTTAAAACAATTTTCAGACAAAGCGATCTGCACATACTCTTTGGCCTATTTATGTTCGTAAAGATACTCAATCATGCCAGTTATCCTTCTGCGATTTTGGAGGTGTATAAAAATACACTTATAATACTAAAATTGTCATTTCTATTTTATATAAAGATCATAAAAAACAGTTTTATGCTTGTTCTTATTTGAACTAACATTTAATAGTTATTTAGAATTTGAGGGTGGACAATTAACTAACTTCAGAAACTAAAGTAAAAATGTTCTTTGTTTCTATTTAAATGTGTTTTTATTTAGTGACAAACTGCTATCTTTAATATAATTACTGTAAATCAACATAAAGTGTTGTTTTCGCCATTTTAGCAGTGTACGGGCATTTTACTCACCAGAACACGACCTTCCGTTAATTTCGAGTTGGTACCCGGTCTTACATGAGCACATAAAGGAACCAACTGTATTAGTACAAGTGTGTTCACAACCAGAAGTTCCTCTTGCGCATTCGTCAATGTCTGTTAAGAAAATTAAAAAAAGGACACTGCTGGAAATAAGTTATTGTTTGCTTACACGAGAATATTATTATTATTATTTTATTATTTGTATTATAATATATATTTGTTGATATTTTAGAGAATGTTTTCTAAAAAATGTTTGTCTCCGCTTCTTATTCACACAGGCTAGTTCTGTCTGTTGTTTTGCTGATTACCAAACACCTCCATATTCTGGTAATTACAACAACTGAGCAAACAGCACAGATAATATGTGTGGTATATCAATGCTCAATACTGATATTATGAGCTCTTTGAAATTACCAAGAAACGGTTAAATATAAAATGTTTACGACGGATATCTTTTTTAAATACTAATTGTTACTTGGATAATGAAATAAGACAGTTTGAAACAACATACATTCATAAAATAAAAATAATTTGTTGATAAAAAGCCCTCCAAACGGATAATAGTCGGCAAAACTATATTGTCTTATATACTATGCGGATACCAATATTCAACCAGCAGTATTGAGCATGGCCAGGCTTCAAAGATGTACAGGCTGGCCTGGCTCTACACTGGTGACGAAATCAAACAAGCAGTGTAAGGTTTCATAAATGTAAAAGCGGTGTTATTTCGTTTACAAAATCGGAAAATGTACGCAAGTGAAGTATTTAACTTCTTTCTTTCATGTTTTCTTTTGAGGTTACATTTTCAAACAAAAAACAACCTCGACATGATTTTCCATCTGATGATAATTCGAATCCAGCTCTACAGGAACATTTGAAAGATCCAGCCGAGTTTGCGCATGCGTGGTCACAACCGGATGTTTTCTCTGCACATTCGTCAATATCTATAAACAATCATATCAAAGGTAAAATGACTTATTATCTCAGGGGGAAATCAAATACTTTAAGTGTCCTCTTAACTCTTGAATTTGATCAGCATTTGTGCTACCTTTTCTGACAATCTGCTGCCATAAACTGTCCGGCCATACTATCGTAAAGATGTTGTCATAGACTTACATCATGATAAATGTTCCCTTAACATACTTTAAAATTGAGTTGTCGTGCAAAAGATGTGATTTTGTTCTAGGAAAATAAAATGTCTGACAAAAAAAAATATCTTGTGACATAGGGGTAGCCAACCAAACTCCTTGCAAACTGCCTCAAAAGCGGATATCAACCTTCTCATTGATTTGTTCTATTGATCACAGAACTGACAGAATTATATTTTAATGTAAATATCTATGTAACAGATTATCATAACGACTAATGAAATATTTTTGTCTTCTTATACAAAATGAATAGTGTTAGTTTTTTTAAATAGTTTTTATACATAAAATAATTACATTGTCATCTATCCATCACCCAATGTCCCACTGAATATACGGTTCTCTTTAACTGATTTTAGCCAGTCGCTGGCAAAGCTATAATACGATATTTTGACCGTCAGCAGAGTTTATCTAATACCATGCAATTACAAGTCTATCTTATAAAAACACAGCACGTGCCTACAAAAAAATCGGTCAACATCTTACAAACTTACCATAACGGCATGACTTACCTTTGCACATGTGCCTGTCTGGGAGCAGACGATAACCGGCTTTACAGGAGCACGTGAAAGATCCGTGTGTGTTGCTGCATTTCTGGTTGCATTTGTTGAGAGACACTGATGCACATTCATCGATATCTGAAATCACCATGAGCTATAAATATACGAGTTCTGATTTTCTTCCCCTCTTTTAAAAGCGGAATTTTGTTTAAAAAAAAAAGTGCAAAAGGCAAAGCTATGTATACACGGTATATATTGACTATAATAATTTTTTGAATACATCTTGATATTCAGTATGTAAGGGGCAAAGCTTTACTTTGCACATATCTGGGGTACAATACTTTCATTGCAAAATAATTGAAATCTAGAAAAATCTTGCTGAATAAGTGTTAAATAAGAGATTTTACAAATTTAAGCCTAGGAAGCTGCTTTACCTATAATTGGCCAAGTTAAGTTGGTCCTTTCTAAAACAACTGTCATTTTCTAATGACACTTTGTATTTGCACTATGTTCATCTTTTATCAAAGTATATAAATCACTGTACCCTATCCGGCGAGCCTATACAATTCAATATGAATTCTGTTTTGGGAGTACAAAATTTGTTACAAAATGTTGGTTTTGAGTATGCAAAGGATAAAACATGTGATGAACTATCTAATACCTGATCACCGGTCACCTGTATTCAGCAGTCTGCAAAGTGTGATAGGCTATCTACAGTAAAACCGGAATCAGTTACATGTATTCCGCAGTATCATGGCATAAACCATCAAACAAAAATGTTTCAAAACTTACACTTTGTTGCCAGTTTTAAGCAACAACCTATCTTAAGCAGACCATATATAGTTATGATTTCATTATTTCGCGGTTTTGTAATTTATATCAATTTATACCATAATTAACTACCGATCACTCGAACAAATTTACCAGCGCCCTCCGGTTCGAGCGAACGAAGTTGGATTGTATATTTTTGTTATCAATTACAGCAAAAGTTGCAGGTTCCTCCACTAACATTACATAGGAGGAATGCCCATCAAATATTGACAGAAATATTTACTTTTTACTACGTTCATGGTATCACTTTCGTACATTTGGATATGTATTTTGAAAGCAATTCATGCACACATTGTAAAGTAGACTGATTGTAAAAATATGACGTTAAATCTTGAGTTTAACTTTGATTAAAGTAAACATGTATGCAATAATCTTCCACAATAAAGGATCCTGTAAGTCATGTGATGCTAAAGTGGATTTAATAAAGAAAGGAACAAGGTCGATTACCCGCAGGAATCTTAACGTGACTCACATCTAAAATTAAACACTTACATTATATTGTCATATTGTTGTTTTAGAATTGTTTTACTTTTTATAAATCTTAGTATCTGTTATGCATACTACTTCAAACCACTTTAAGTTATTTGTTTGGTCTACTGCCGACCGATGGCATAGTTACTTAATGCTCTCTAAAACTGTCAGGAATAATGTTTACATGAAGACACCATGCTCGAGTATTGTATTTCATCCTGTGATCAATGCTCTCAATCAGTCCTTTTCCAGTCTACGAAATTTGTGTTAGCCAAAACTGCTATAAAATGAAAGAAGCACAAAAAAACGGAGGAAAAATAAAATATCTCTTTTACTTATATGCACTCAAAACCAACATTTTATAACCAAATATTGGTGTAAAGGATGAGCGTATTCCGTTTCATAATGATTTAAACACCCTTATTATGTAATAAAAAAACCTCTAAAACATGTCGTAACTTAGCGCAAGAAACATACTGGCAGTAACAAAAGTTATTAGAAGAACACTAGGACATCGTCAGAGTTATCAGAAGAACTCTTAGCACTACTGAACAAATAAGTATTAATTTGTTAGCCGGTGTTTTATGTCTGCAACTTTCCACATGAACAATTCAATATGTCAATATTTACTAAAAAGCAAATAATTTGAAATCTTTACTCAAAACTACCAGATTTTAAACAGGAGGAGACAAAAGACGGAATATAAAGATTTTTTTCTGACACATTAAACAATATGTAGGACAAGCTTAATCATCAAGTTAAATTTAGCACTCTTTTTAAAGATGAAAATTACCATTTTTGAGTGTTTCTCCGATATATGCAAAACTTTTCACAGTTAACAGAAGAACTCCTGATAAATTATCAGGAGTAAATTCATCTTCCGTGTAACAGTTTCTCCCCCTTGAAAATAGCAAACTTCGAAAATGAACTTCAAATTGTTTTGTGCCACCGAAACTTACAAATCCACCACGTGAAAACAGTGCAAAGTTGCAATTGCTTATATTTATACGGGTTCAGTTATTTACGTACCTTTGCATGTTTTTTGATCACCCTGCAACTCATACCCAGACTTACAACTACATTTAAATGATCCTGGGGTGTTAGCGCAATTCTGGGAACAGCCATCGACCTTCTGTTTACATTCATCAACGTCTAAAATAAAATATACGTATTGTGTCGTGATGTATTTAATACGGTAATTTAGATGTATTTTAACATATTGCAAGGCCAGTGTTCACATTAACATATAATGTTTCATGTAAAAAAATGAGATTTTTGAGAAAAAGTCATTATTGTTCTGTTTGTTTCGTTGTCTGGCTTTACTAATGTTTGTGAGGTTTTATTTTTGCAATTCATGTATTACGCAAGGTACTCTATAACTCTTCTCCTTACTAATCACTTTCATACTCCATACTAGCTACCTGTCACAATAAACAAACTATTTTTGAATTTATTTAGTTATCATTAAGTAACAGTTGTCTTTTTACATCAGAATTTTATCAAATCTAATCATTTCGATTATATCACGTTTATTACGATGATTTGTGGTAAAATACCTGAGCATGCGTGTCCGTCTGCTGCAAGAACATAGCCTGAATTACATTCACAGGTGTAGGAACCAGGCATGTTTACACAAACTTGTTCACATGACCCATTTCCGGAACTGCACTCATCAACATCTGAAAAAGAAATTTACTGGAATCACAAGTCAAATATATCAAAATATATAGATGTTTATCGGAAGACTATATCAAAATGCGCCAGAATGCAATATTTAAATAAAGCAGGCCTTCCGTTCGGTAACTGCAACACTATATTTATGTATTTTGCTCATATGTTGAACACGATAACGTTTACATTTCATTCACTCAAACAAATTTTGTAAGTTATTTAATTATGACATTTTGCTTTTGAGGGCAATAAAATGTTATAAAAGCAGGCATACTAGCGAAAACCAGAATAGCTTAAAGGTTAAAGCGTTCATGCTTTGAAAATGACGTTTTCAATTCGAAAATGTCATTGCATTCTTTTTCTTTTTCATGTTTATAAGGCATGTATAATTAACTTTGCACAGTAGAAAGTTTAAGTTAAAAATCCTAAGTAAAATTCAATGTATTTGAATTTTAACAGTCATTTAAAATATCTAAATAGTATTGTTTAATATATTTTAATTTCGTTTGCCTTATTTCAAACAATTTTGGCATATTTGTATGTTATCTATATTCTGTCATTGCTATTTATTTAGCCATTTAACACATAAGTTTGGGACTGTAATGACTTTGAATTGCTAAATACAAATCTATGTCTCAGACAACCTTGTGTAAGGAGGAACAAAAATACATGTAGTTGCAAAATGTCATCAAGATTTAAAAAAATGTCTTCCCAGGACTCGAAGCAGGATTTCTACTCTCACGAAGCGAACGCTCTACGTTATTTAGCCGTGACTTGCTGAATAGATATAAACGGGTAATGGCCCTACTAGTCGTTAAAGGCGATAAATAATATGTTTTATAAAACAATTATCGACACACCAATCTGTTTATATTGACGAAACAGATAATGAAACAAAATCATATTCAATCTGTACATGCTGACAGTTTCAAGTCATCAACATCATTAAAATTAATACAGGCAACTTTATGTACATTGATGTACTATATATATAAAGCTAAGTCCAGCCACCGCATCGTTCTTGGGCAGGCTGTCAAGCAGTTAAGCTGCCTTAACTTTCGCAAGGAACTGGATTATTTCTGTACATGCAAGAGCAGAAGTACAGTGCGAATGATCGTAGAAAGAATTTCATGATCAATCATAACGAAAGTGAACTTCATCGTCCGGGAATCGAACTCCTAACTCAGTAAATCCTCAATAAAGCATTTTGTTGCTTTCGCCATTTAAGCAGTCTACGGGCATTTTACTTACCCGAACACGATCTTCCGTTAATTGCGAGTTGATACCCGGTCTTACATGAGCACGTAAAGGAACCAACTGTATTAGTACAAGTGTGATCACAACCGGAAGTTCCTCTTGCGCATTCGTCAATGTCTGAAAAAAATAAAGCAAAAAGAAATAGAGAGACACTGCTTGCAATAAGCTATTGCCTGGTTATACGAAAGTATTTTTCATTATGTCAATTTGTTAATATGTTAGAGAATGTGTTATAAAGATATTTGTGTCCGCTTGTCACTTCACACAGGCTAGCTATATCTGATATTTTACTGAGTACAAAGCGCTTTAATGTTCTGGTAATTCTAAGGTCAATCTCCAATTTCAGAGAAAAAAAGTTCGACAACGACAGAGCAAACAGCACATATAATATGTGTGGTATATCACTGCTGCTTAGTGCTAATGAGTACTAATGTTATTTTATTATTTCATGCTTTTCAGTGGATTACTGATTTATCCGTGAACATTATATTTGATAATTTCACAGTGAAAATTATCAAAATAAAATTTCACATTTTTCAATGATTAAACTACTTTTTTTAAGTTTTTCCCCATGTGGTACCTCAATTTTATGTTTGCTGACAATTCTGACATTGTCAGTGCTGTTTAGAGAAACGCAAAGATAAACTTGATAAATAACTTGAATTTCAAAAGCAATAAAAGGAAGAAAACATACTTCAATTTATTCAAATTACCAATTATCAAATATCGTTTCTAAATTGTTTTGTTCATTTTTACAGTCTGAAAAATACAATTCCTTCCACATGCAAAACTGCTCTTGATGACATTTGGGCATATTTAAGTATCCTACGAGCAATTACTTCCTAATACCACATGAAAACTTGAAAAGCAATGGCAGCCATCAGCCCGAAGAATAAGTAAACAACCCAGCGTTCGTAAGGAAGCCTTTCAACAATTCCATTTTTCTATTTTCATAGCCGCTTTTTGAATATGTACACATCTGTTAACATTTATTTTTTGTCTGTAACAATCCTCAAATAAATTTTCTTTCTTCTTAAAAGATATATGATTAACAAATCCAAATGATATCCCTATGAATCAAACACAATTATATTCCTCCCGTTGAATACACACCTTTTTAAAATGGCGGCCGCTTACAGGTCTAATATAATTTCGCAGTAAGTAACGGAAATAAGGTCGGATGGTGTGACTTTTTCTTCTACTAGATTTGTTTGTTTTTATTATTAAAACAAGCGATCATTCACATTTTTTAATGAAATGAATAATATCACCGCCATTTAAGTTGATTGTCGAACCTATTTTACAGCCCAAGACTTCTTGTATTTTATGAGAAATTCGACTTATAGAGGCTACCAAAGGGGAAAACAAATTTAAATATTTAAGTTAATATATAAAGAACATTTGGGTTTAACTTGTTTTTAAGTATAAAATAAAAAAAATGTATGCTAAGCCTCTCGTGAGAATACTGTTTTTAAAGCCCTCTCAATGAAATAAAATTGCATCTTACACACAAACAAACAACTATCCTCTATGTATTTTAGAGCACTGTTAAATTAACAAGAAACGGTTAAACAGACACAGAAAAGTTTACAACGACCAAATATCGTTTTTTAAAATGCTTCTTGTTTCAAATGTTTCTACCTTGGACAGTTTGAAATAAATCATTTTTTCTTTAAAGATTCGTTAAAGAATTAAAAATTTAAACAGATAACTATATGGTATCATATACTATGGGGATATCAAGATTCAGTCAGCGGTATAGATCCTGGTCAGGCTGCACAGATGGATAGTTTAGCCCGGCTCTATACTGGTGACAAAATCAAACCAGCAGCGTAAACGTTAATAAATTTAAAACCCGTGTTTTTTATTTACTAAATAAACAATACCATCCGGGAAATGTATGCAGGTTAAGTATTATAACATCTTTTTTAGAGATGATGTTTTGAGGTTACATTTACAAATAAAATACAACCTCGACATGATTTTCCATCTGATGATAATTCGAATCCAGCTCTACAGGAACACTTGAAAGATCCAGCCGAGTTTGCGCATGCGTGATTACAGCCGGATGTTTTCTCTGCACATTCGTCAATATCTATAAACAATTATATCAAAAGTTATGTTAAATGACAGAAGGAAATAAATTTCTTTTAAAGTCCTCTTAACTCTAAAATTTGATCAGCCTTTGTGCTACCTTTGTTCGTACCCTGAGGAAATTATTTGAGAATTTCTGACTATCAATATATACTATCGTATAGATGTTCATTTAGATTTACATCATGATAAATGTTCCCTCATCATTCAGTTTTCATGCAAACGATGTGGTTTTTTCAATGAGAATAAAATGTCTGCAATAAAAAATGACCTTGTTACATAGGGGTAGCCAACCAAACCCTTTGCAAACTGCCTTTAAAGCGGATTATCACCCTTTTCACTGTTTTTACTATTGACCACAGAACTGACAGAATTATATCTTTAATGTAAATATCTAAGTGACAAATTATCATATAGACTTAGGAAATATTTTACTTTCTTAAACAAAATAAGTAGTGTTAGTTTCTTAAATAATTTTCATACTTAAAATAATTACATTTTATTTTATGCTTTTCAGTGGATTACTGATTTATCCGTGAAAATTTTATTTGATAATTTCACAGTGAAAATTATCAAAATATAATTTCACACTTTTCAATGACGAAACTACTTTTTTAAGATTTTCCCCATGTGGTACCTCAATTTTATTTTTGCTGACTATTCCGACAATGTCAGGCTGCTTAAAGAAAAGCAAAGCTGAAATTGATAAATAACTTACATATCAAAATTAAGAAAGAGAAGAAAACTTACAGTGTGTCACTTCTATTCATTCAAATTACCAATCACCAAATATCGTCTCTTTAATTTTTTGTTTCATTTTTACAGTCTGAAAAATACAATTCCTTCAACATGCAAAACTGCTCTTGATGACATTTGGGAATATTTAAGTATCCTACGAGCAATAACTGACGTATGCTTTATGAAAACTTGAAAAGCAATAGCAGCTTTCACTCGAAGAATATGTAAACAACCCAGCGTTCGTAAGGCTTCCAAGTTTTCCAATTTCCTATCCACTTTTTTGAATGTTTACACATCTGTCAACACTTATTTATTGTCTGTTACAATCCTCCAATAAATTTTCTTTCTTTTAAAAAGGTGTATGACTAACAAATCCAAATGATATCCCTCTGAATCAAACACAATTATTTTCCTCCAGTGAAATACACAACTTTAAAAATGGCGGCCGTTTACATTTAACAAAGCCAGGTCTAATATAAATTCGCAGGCAGTAACAGAAATATGGATGGATGGTTGGACTTTTTCTCCTACTAGAATTGTTTGTGTTTATTATTAAAACAAGCAATCAGGCATATTTTTTTAATAAAATAAATACTATCTCTACCTTTTAACATTGATTGTGGAACTTATTTTTCAGCCCATGACTTCTTGTATTTAATGAGAAATTCGACTTTTTTGAGGCTCTCAATGGGGAAAACAGATTTTAATATTAACGTAAATATTAAGGAAATTTCGTTTTAACCTGTTTTTAAGCATAAAATAAAAAGAAAATTTGTTAGGTACTCCAGCATCACAATGAAAAATTGTTGTTTTGTTTGTTTGTTTTTGTTGTTTTTATTGGGGGGGATTATGTACAAAATCATTGAATTTGATCCAAGAATTTAAAAAGATTGGGATTATATATTTGCAAATACCAACGACAAAGATTTGAATAAAAAAAGTCTTGTTAAAGGCACGTAATGCATCTTTCTATTTTAATTCTTTAGAAAAATAATTTAAAACTACTTAAAGTTGCACTGAACGTCCAGTAATGTGTTATGATCGTAGAAAATGTAAACAATGTAGTATTTAGACTTCCATACAAAATGATAATGTAATATGATTATACCCTTTGCAAAATTTGAAATTTTGAGAAATAAAATTTATAGAATTTCTGAAGCATAATAGACCTTAAAATTGTCATAAGATGGTTAAAAACGGAAACATAATTGTGTATTACATAAAAAATTTGATAAAGTTTACGCCATTAAATGTTTTGTGTTTTTTTCAGTTCTAAATGCCTGTCAGAAACCTTTCAATACTGTCTTTAGCTTCTTTTTCTTCGCCCTGTCTTTCATGTTTTCAAACATTATTTTGCTATTTTGGCATTTACTACTTGAAAACAATTAAATAGTCTTTAAAATTCTCCTCATGCTTTTCTTTTATCGAACATACATTTGAAATCTTTTTTTTTCTTTAACATTGTTATGTCTAGGGTATAGATATTATAAGAAAAGCATTGATGCAAAGCATCAAAGGGCGTCCAAGCAAGAAAAGCAGCAAGTGAAGATGAACTAGTAGACATATGATGACAAAATATTCTTATACACTTTTCAATGGTTAATTGGTTTTTACCAGAATTGTATATCACTTATGAATGAGCGTGTTCATTATGAACTTTGATTGGCATGCTAGAGATTAGAATATTACTTTTTATTTTTCTTTATGATCGTGGTTATTAATAGCAACGGATATACATGTATACAATTATTTATAATCCATATGTGTAACGCATGATCAACACGTACCACACCTTTGTAATTGTCCCTTATTATGTTATCGCTATTAGCGAAGACCCCCTATTAAGGTATCTGTTCACACTTAGTAAAAATATGACACTGGTTATATTAACATGTTGATTATGTTGAGCATAATTGTTTATTATACAATAATTGTAATATCTATTAATTTTAATTAAAAAAATATGAATATTGTTTTCTTTTCTTTTTTGTGTTTTATGTTCTATTTTAATACTGAGTTTTTATGTTTACGAGCGTACTACTCTTTTTTTTATTAAAAATGTAAAATAAACTTTAAGAATTCAATTGTCATATTGACTGACGATTATTAGTCAAAACTTAACTGGAAAAAGTCAGTAAATCATGGTTTATCTTTCAATATATAATATTGTTTATTCTTAAACCATGTACATGTACATTTGTATTTTTCTTTATCATTTTTTAAATTATCAATCAATTGAATAATTCATAAAATCTAATTTGTATTCCTCGGCATCTTTACTAAACACGGATAACAAATTAAATAAAATGTTTCAAAGTTGATAATGTCATATTAATACCATAAAAATGTACCCTTTTCTCAATTATTGTACATATTTATTGTTTTTATCTCATATAGATAAAATGAAACATGCTATTGTTGTTGTTTTTTTTTTAAATGTAACGATATCAAACATCTACTCCAAAACCGGGAGAGACCGGACAATAAACGTGTGGTACTATTCGCCGGTCACTATAGACCGGGAGAGACCGGGAATTACCGATAGTGATAAATAGATATATCTATACATAGATTTTCGGAATATTTAGGTCATCAACTGATCATTCTAGGATACATGTACAACAACAATAACATACCCTGATAACCCAGTGTGTACTACAAAATGATAAATAAAAAAACCCGAAGAGCGCGATTTATTGACGGAAAAGGTTATTTCATTTGAAAATGTTTGCATTGCGAAATTCTCCAGTTCGCTATTCATTGCAACATATCGCGACATTTAATTCTTAATTAATAATCAAGCACCCTCATACCGATCGGAATTATCGGCTTTTATTATGACCGACTAAAAGGCTCGAGAAGTTGCTGTCGCCCTTTCACAAAATCTGATTTCATTCCATAAGAGCGCCGCGCTTCGGCGCGGACGCCAATAAGAATCACGTTGATTATAACTACGTTTATTTAGAAAGCCATGTTATATCTTGACCGGAAGTTCAGTACAGTATTACCCATCATGCAATTTAGTTGTAAATAGCAGACTACAGTAATGAAGGATATTACAAACATTAAGATTTTTAATAATTAATTCTTTAACAAAAATTTTCAACTTCGGCGAAATACACTCCTTTAAACGGCATGGTTACACTTTTACAATGTTTGTTGAGTGATGTTATATAATAAAACCGACCGATTTTGAAAGTAGCATCCATTTTGTTCTGTCAATGAAAATTTTTGCAGTACACAATTATGTTTTCTTTTTTAAATCATCTTATGACACTTTTAAAGTCCAATTATGCCTCAGAAATTCTATCAATTTTACTTCTCAAAATTTCAATTTTTGCAAAGGGTATTATCATATTGCATTATCATTTTGTATGGAAGTCAAAATACTACATTGTTTAAGAATAATATATCCCAAACTGTGATTTTATAGCTCAATAACATCACTGTTTAGAGTTCGGATGCGAGGAATTATAACACGAGGGCGTAGCCCGAGTGATATAATGTTGCGCATCCGAACGACAAACAGTGATGTTATCCAGCGATAAAATCACCGATTTGGATACATCATTTCGATTCTAACACGACATAAACAAATAAATGCTGCCGTACCTGCTATTAAGCAAAATTGCGTCTGATTTGTTTCCGTTCTTATTGTCAGCGCGTCGGATTTCATAGTGGTTACGTCACATGTACAATGATTACGTCACACGTCTAAATATAGAACATCAAACAGTGACTCTATTGCATAATAATACACACTTTCGGTTCTTCTATGTTCAATAGGGAAAAATGCGGGTCGTGTTAGAATTATACATTTTTCTACCATCATAACACATTACTGAACATTCAGTGCAACTTTAAAAAGTTTTTAATTATTTTTCTAAAGAATTAAAATAGAAAGAGGCATAACGTGCCTTTCACAAGACTGTTTTATTTGAATCTTTGTCGTTGGTATTTTGCAAATATAGAATCTTATTCTTTTTACTATCTTAAATCAAATTCAATGATTTTGTACATAATCCCTCCCCAAAACAAAATAAAAAAACAAACAAACAACCCTGTTTGATTGTGATACTGGAATACCTAACAACTAAAGCGGCAAATCATTACACAGCTGCTAACTTGATCTAAATAATGAAACACCATACTCGTTTAGTTGAGTGTATTTTACATAAATCATGCTAAATAAATGTTGAAGGTATTGTTTTGCTACGTGAATTTTTTGTTGGAGCTTTTTGCTTTAATTAAAATACTCAGACGTCATCAAAGTTTGCTTTATGCCATAATTATTCAAGACGCCATGAAAATATTTTTCTGCCATGTTTCCTTTGAAATATCTTTAAATATATAGATTGGGAATTCTATGTCAATCCCAAAATTCAAACAATGCGATATAACTTGTATCTAACTTTTATTTTTAATATTTCCTGAACAAAACAATAAATACTTATAACTAAATGACATTTGTTTAAAACATAAATATTTACATAGTCCTATATATAGACGCATACGACAAATCATCCGGGTACTTGAGTCCAGAGTCATCGACATTGACAAACACAGGAACAGTCATTTTAATGGATAAAAGGAAATTCAATAAATTTTCTACTTTAAATCGTATAAATTTGTGACAACCCTTCTTTTTTTTTGCATAAGTACTGGTGTCCCGCGAGTCCAATACACTCTTAATAGTTCATACTACTTGTATCATTCCGGGTACACTCCTTTGAAAATCAAAATTTCTGAAAAATTCAACTCCTGACATAAATTTAATGGGATCATCTCTATTCCTAAGTATATGTTTTTCAACATTTATTTCCTAAAATACTGTCACATCGCGTATATGATGCACTTAAATGTATATGGGACGAAATTAATTCAATATCAATACTCAAAACAAAGTGGTATTCAGTATCATTTTATTGCGGACACCTCAAGGTAGCCCCCTCCTAATCTAACAGATTCTCAACTTAGTTCACTCGAAACTTACTTTATAACTTGAATACCACTTTAATGAAAGTTGAGGACTGTCTTGACCGGTAGGCAATTATATGGGATTTACGCAATGAGTGTGAGTGTAAGTATCGATTCTGAATAAGACCATAGTCCTTTTGTTTACGTAACATTACCTCTCGTGAAGGAGACTTCAAAAGTTGACTGATCAGTTTTATTGCATAACATCACTCAATATACATTTCAAAAGTTTAACCATGTCTTGTAAAAGAGTGTATTTTACCAAAATGAAACAAAAGTTCTTATAAGAATTAATTATTAAAAAATCTTAATGTTAAAAAAATATTTTAAATCTATGTTCGATAAAACAAACGCATGAGGAGAAAATTAAAGAGAATTTAATACTTTTCAAGTAGTAAATGCCAGAACAGCAAAACAATGTTGGAAAACCTGAAAGACATGGCGACACAAATATTAAATAAAATTCAATGATTTTGTAAATAACCTAAACCCAGCATATAAAAAACAACCCTGTTTGATTGTGATGCTGGAATATCTGACGACTAAAGCGGTAAAACATTATACAGTTATCATTAAAGTTACAAACAGGATCTAAGTAATGGAACACCATAAAATTAAACTCGTCAAAGAAAGTATATATATCATGCTAATTAAATGTAAATGGCATGTCTTTAAAACATAAATTTATATTTATATAGGCCTATATTTAGACGCATACGACAAATTTTCCGAGGAATTGAGTTCAGAATTTGACAATCACAGGAACAGTTATTTTCATGGGTAAAAAATAAATTCAAGAACTTTCCAACTTGATTTCACTTCTTTTTGGCATAAGCACTGATATCCCGTGAGCTGAATACACTCTTAAAGATCCTGTAACACATTATTTTTATGGTTTTATATACAAATTATGATGCTCAAATTAAGATTTATCGATATTGTAAGTTCCAAAAAACATTATTTATAAAGATATTACCGAATTTAATATTTCATGTAAATAAAGGGAGGTAATTAGAATTTAGTTTTCTATAAATTCTAAGTCAATTTTTCCAATAAGAAATGAATGCATATAATTTAATGATTACCTTAAATATGTACAAATATTTGCAATACATATTTTACATATTCTTCGATTTTTGAAAATTGACAAATTTGCATAATTACATACATATATAATTTAATGAAGAGTGGTATGCATTCTCAATTACAAAACATACAGGATCTTTAATAGTTCATACTACTTATATCATTCCGTATATAAACTGTGCAAAGTCCTTCGAAAATCGAAATTTCTGAGAAAATTCAACTTCTGACATAATCCCTAAGTATCTGTTTGTCAACATTTATTACCTCAAATACTGTCAGTTAGCGTATACGATGCACTTTAATGTATATGGGACGAAATTAATTCAAAATCAATACTCCAAACTAAGTGGTATTCAGTATTATTTTCGCTCGACACTTATAATCTAAATACCACTTTTCTGAAAGGTTTAGGACTGCCTTGACCGTTAGGCAATTATATTGGGATTTACTCAATGAGTGTGAGTGTAAGTTTCGATTCTGAATACGGGCCTTACATACTTTCAAGAACGGCATGACTTACCTATACAGTTGTGCTTGTCTGGGAGCAGACGATAACCGGTGTTACAGGAACACGTGAAAGATCCGTTTGTGTTGCTGCATTTCTGGTTACATTTGTTCAGAGACGATGATGCACATTCATCGATATCTGAAATCAACATGAGCTATAAATATACAAGCTTTTATTTGAGAAGCCCTAAAACGTTTTTGCTTCCCCTCTTAAACGGAATTTTGTTTTAAGTAATTACGCAAAATGGAAAGCTATATATACACGGTATATAAAGGATATTTGTTTATTTTGCATGTAAGATTGAAAGATAATTTCACTGAGAGAACACCAGATGCAATATTTTCACGAGTGGCGTAGCCACGAGTGAAAATATAATAGCTGTTGTTCACGAATGAAATATATTTCAATCTTATACATGTATGTAAAACAAATAAATTTTCTTTTTATTTCATGCTTTTTAAGTAATTTTAAGTATTTTTTACTGATTTTGCCGCGTAACGTCGCGCATTCTCCTTTGTGACGTCATCACATCATGACGTCACATCATCAATTTTGAAATGTAGTTCTGTTAAATTTCTCTAATTTTGTTACATTTTTTACATGATGTATGGTGACATCGACTTTCTTTTCCTATAGAAGCAAAATTTACGTATGATGACAATTATTTCTGCCTGTTATTCCATTTAGTTTAATTTTCTTTTCATCCGCATTCAGATATAGTCCGGCTAATTATCTGATATATTACAATAAAACACTGGAAAGCATGAAATAAATAGAGGATATTGAATGAGTGTAAGTTCAATACTGAATTTATTGCACGAGTTGAATGAATTATATTATGCGAGCCTCTGGCGAGCATAATATTATTTTATTCAACGAGTGCAATACATTCAGTAATGAACTTACACGAATTTAATATTCTATTTATCACATACCCAAAATAAAGACCGTTTAAAGTGAAAAAAGAGTCATTTTTCATTGACGCGCCTATAGTATAACGCTAACATTTAGCGCGTCTTTACACTATGTTTGTATAACGCTAATGACGTCACGTCAAAATATATGCACGGCCGTGCAATACCATTTTTACGGAGTCGCAAAATCGGCACGGGTGTGTGATAAATATTGATAATTATTTTTTTTTGCATCCATCTTGATATTCCGTATGTAAATGGCAAATAGTTTTTGTAGTATTTCGTTATTATGGCTATAGAGTCTCCCTTGATCATTGTCACCATGACAACGTATTTAAGTACATGTAGGTTATTGTACAAAAAAAATGATTTCATTAGCGGAATTTAAATTCATGTAAAATGACATAAGCATATAATTATATAATTTATGGTATTACTTCATAATTGCTGTTGACTCGACCGAAATCTACAAAAGAATGACTGTAAAGATATAATATGCTTTTCTCTGGGATAAAATACTTTCTTGCAAAACTTAATTAAAATCTAGAAAATTCTTGCTGAATAAATGTTGAATAAGTGATTTAACTAATTTAAGCCTAGGAAGCTGTATTACCTATATTGGCCAAGTTAAGTTGGCCCTTTCTAAACATCTGTCATTTTCTAATGACAATTTGTATTTGTACTGTATTCACCTTTTATCACAGTATATAAATCACTGTACCCTGTCTGGCGAGCCTATACAATTCAATATGCATTCTGTTTTGGGAGTATAAAATTTGTTTATAAAATATGTTTGAGTAAGTAGAATACAGTCTGCAAAGGATAGGCATGTGTGCTTTCTACAGTAAAACCAGAATATGCGGTTACCTGTATTCAGCAGTATCATGGCATAAGCTGCAAAACAATTAAACAATTTTTTCAAAACGTACACTTTATTCCCAGTTAAACATATTTAAAGCAACCACATTTCTTAAGCAGACGATATATAGTTAAGTTTCCCTTAATTAGCGGCTTAGTAATTCATATCAATTATTCCAAAATAAACTACCGACCTTTCGAATACATTTGCAAGCGCCCGAACGAAGTTCGACTAAATTTTTTTGTTATCAATTACAGCAAAAGTTGCAGGTTCCTCCACTAATTGTTTTTCTTTTTTACGTAGGAGGTATGCCCACCAAATATTGACAGAAATATTTACTTTTTACTTTAAATAAAATGACAACGTCCGTCGTATTTTTTGGTACGTTTGGATAAGTATTTTAAAGCAATTTATGCTAACACATTGGAGATTAGTCTGATTCTAAAGATATAGCATCCAATCTTGAGTTTGACTTCGATAAATAAAAATGTTTGCAATAATAATCAGCACTTAAGTGTCCTGTAAGTCACGTGATGCTAAAGTGGATTTTATAAAGAAAGGAACAAGATGGTTTACCGGCATGAATCATTACGTGACTTACATATAAAATTAAGCACTTACTTTATATTGTCATATTGTTGTCATAGAACTTTCTACTTTCATATGTTAAAAATGATAACTTTTTTACAAATTTAAGTATCTGCTGAATACCTGAAGATGACCCGGCCTAATTAAATTTAGAAAAAGGTAGTGCATACTACTTCATATTTTGCTGCAAACGTTTTTTTTAAGTAATTCGGTTGGTCTTCTGTAGACCGATGCCATAGTTACTTAATGCCTTCTAAAATGACAGGAATAATGTATACATAAAATCACCATGCTTGAGTATTGTATTCGAAGTGAGTTTTTTTCCTTATAGTCAATGCTCTACATTTATTCTTTTTTCTATCTACGAAACCTTAGTTAGACAAAACTGCTACAAAATGTCAAAAGCACAAGAAACGGAGGTAAGATTAAATATCTCTTGAACTAATCAACATTTTATAACCAAATATGTTTGCAAAGTATGAGCGTCTTTAGTTTCATGATGATTAATACAACCTTAGTATGTAATAAAACGATAGAACTAAGTCGTTACTAAGCGCAAGAAACATGCAAAATAATTATAAGGTTATCAGAAGAACACTAGGACATCTTCAGAGTTTTCAGAAGAACTCTAGCACATTTGAACAACTTTGTATAAATTTGTTAGCCGGGGTATTATGTTTGCAACTTTCTATAATAGTTAGGAAATTAAGTATGGCAAGGAAAAAGATCACAAATAAACAATTCAATAAGTCATTATGTACGAATAAGCAAATTATTTGAAAATTTTACTTAAAACTATCAGATTTTAAACAAAAGGCGACGAAAGACGGACTATAAAGTTTTTTTGACACATAATTCAATATATGATGCAAACTTTATCATTAAAGTTTAATTTAGCACCTCAAACTCTTTTTAAAGATGAAGACTACCAAGTTAGTGTTTCTTTGGTATATGCACAACCTTTCTGATGAACTCCGTGACAGTTATCAGACAAACTCCTGACAAGCTAACAGAAGAACTTCATCTTCTGTGTAACAGTTCCTCCCCAGTGAAAAAAATCAAACTTGAAAAGTCGCAGGCAGTCGGTGCGTTGCTTGGATGATATACATGTACATGGCCACTCCCATTTTTATGAATAAAATATTCATTAATTCAAAAAGTTTTAAAAACCTCAAACCTTTAGTAAAAAAACAAAAGAAAGTTGTTTCTTTTAATATCATCCCTATAATACTATATAAATAAAGACAATGTAGAAAGGTTCACCAGCGGATCTCCCGGCATTATTTGAAGTCCCAGATCTTTGTTAATTGTCAACTTATTTTCACCAATAAAGTGCAATCTCCTCAGAAATGTTTTTTTATTCCAAAAATGTACAATATTTTAACAGTTGGTACGACTAAAGATCTAATTTTAAAGCGATAATGCACTTTTGTTTAAAATGGACATCGTTTGACTGAGCAGTAAAACATAAATCGATCTTTTTCTTCATAATAAACTAATGTCAGTGCAAGCAAACAGTTGAAACAGAAAGGCAGCTATAACACTGTCGCTTACCTGTTAAATTTAAATGCGAAACGTCTGTATGTAGGCACTTTCAGTGGTTATTTGCTCTAACTTATTAAATTTCTTGGCATTACATGTATCAAATCCTGATCCGGATATTGGAAATACACATGTCCTGTTTAAAATTTAGAAACTCGGTTTCCCGCTGTAACCCAGCTTCACTTAATCCTTACTTTCGAAACGGGGTACGCATTAGGAATATCCGAGTCAGGATTTGCATGCTTGTAATGATTTATGTACATGCCAGAGCAGGAGTACAGTGCGAATGATCGTAGAAAGGATTTCATGATCAATCATAAAGAAAGTGAACTTCTATTTGGCTTTTTCTTTCTTGTTGGGTAGTTCCAGTATTCCTCACTTGAATACTGTTGAATCACCCTTAGGATATGTTGCCTGCTTTTAAAATTTGACTTTTGATGTATTATCTGTGATATACCGGCTTCATAGCCTCTGGTCCCCTTTCAAAATTCCATTTTATTTAGTTCCACTCATTGTTTTCTCGTTTAGGGCACACGCATTTTTTTACTTGAGGAACATATGCCGCTTTTTATGGAATGTCACTTAGTGTCGCATTGAAGGTTCCATGATAACCGCCATACGAACACATCTGCGGATGTTTCAAAATTGTACCAATTCATTTTAAATGTTGAATTCTGCTTAAGCCGGTGTTAGGGGGCGTGGACGGTAGTTTACACTTTACAGTACCGTCCATGAACAGACTCAACATTTTCAATTATGTTGTGTTGGACTTTTTAGGGATTCTTGCTTTCTCTATTTCATCGTTCGGGAAGCGAACTCGGGTCTCCCTGTTCACAGACCCAGGTTCTACCTATTGAGCTAACCGGACAGCTTCTGCTTAGACAGATTGGTTGAACAGCAAAAAAATGTGAATTCTTGTGTTTCAGTCATTTCAACAGCGTTTTAGTAATACATACATAATAACTATTTAGACTATGAGACTTAAAAATGTCAGTGTAGAATCATTTACAAAGTGATCATAAGAAATCCATAGAATTGGGCGAATAAAGAATAAAAGAATTCGAGGTATGATCAAAAAATTCTCGGCCCGATATACTTCTAGCCACTACACTATCATTTACACACGATACGTCGATACCGATATCTTACTGAAGATTACTGACCGAGTTGCACGCGGTTTTACACATATATACACAAGTAACATATAATACACTTTGATCAGTACAGGGGTTTGTCATTTAGACCAAATAGAGAAAGTTGAAATCAGAGCCGTCATTAAGTACCTCTGTAAGAAAGGGATGTCCCCCAAGGAAATCCATAAAGACTTCATGGATACACTTGGAAAGGAGTCCCCTTCCTAAAGCACTGTGAAAACATTGGCTGCTGAATTTAAGAGGGACGGGGAGAGCAATGATGAGCGGCCTGGGCGATCAAAAAGGGCAAAGAACGATGAAACTGCCGAAGCTGTGCTCGCGATCTGGTCATGCGCGACAGAGGGCGAAACCTGCAAAGCATTGCTAGGGAAGTGGGTATAAGCTTTGTTTCTGTTCAGGCAATTTTGACTGATGTCTATGGTTTCCGGTAGATGGGCCACCAGACAGTCACCAGAAACGGACCAGGCCTGACACTGCAAGATATCGTTTGTCTCGCTACGAGGATAAATCTGATGTTATGTACCGGATCATTACTCAGGATGAAACATGGGTCCATCACTCCGATCCAGAATCCCAAAAAAACAGAGCATGCAGTGGAAGCATCCTGGCTCACCACTCCGAAGAAATTCAAGAGGGTGCCATCAGCAGGGAAGATGATGGCTTCAATTGTTGGGATAGTCAGGAAATAATCATGATTGACTTATTTGATCAAGGTCGTACCATAAACGGTACGTGCTATGCAGACGAATTGAGATGTCTGCGTCCAGAAATCGCCCGTAAAAGAGGGGGCAAACTCACTCAAGGCGTTTTGCTCCTGCACAACAATGCGCCAGCTTACACATCCAAAGTTGCGAGCGCCAGCTCACACATCCAAAAGATGCGATGGCTGCTGCAACTAACTGCAGCTTTATATTCTTCCCCTTCCCCCAATTTCTCAGGACTTGGCCCCCTCTGACTTCTTCCTGTTTCAGAAACTGAAACCAAGCTTCCAAGTAGACGTTTTTTTGGAAGCAATAAATGTCATGAAGGAGGTCAATGAGTTGTTAGAGAAATAGAGAGTTCTATTTTGGAGGATTAAACAAGTTGGAGCACAGGTCGGCAAAGTGCATTGATGTATAGGGCGATTATATTGAGAGAAAAAGACCATTAGTTAGGTTCTCTGACTACCTGAAGTACATCAGGCCAAGATTTTTTTTTCAATTCTCGTACATAGTTGATAAACAATTATATAGTTATATAGATAGATATACCGTTCTGTGTGTTCTTACTATTGTGTTTGGGGTGATATCTAAAGACTGCAGGAATGGGCCGAAAAGTTTTTATTGCACTGAACCACAAAGATTTGTTTGTTTTTTTGTTTGTTTGTTTGTTTCATTTACGCCTGTTCCCAACGGTATTTCAGTCATATAGGTGGGTGGTTTCCTAACCATTGTTCCTAGAGAGTTACACCAGTACTAGACTACCTTCCTCCTCGCTAAACTACCCAATCCTCTCCCGGGGATTATAATGCATTCCCGCGGGCTCGAGATTACGATCAGCACACAGAGAAAGCAATGGTAGATCATTTGACGTAAACTACGTATTATCATTAACCTTGTTTCTCCTACAGCGGTCTTGGAGATAAATGTATATACATTTTGAACTAAAAGCTCGTTCTATATAAAGACTCTTTATAAAGAGATATATTTTACTGATGATAGTTTTAAGCTGATCTAACGTATTTTTCACACAAAGCAATTTGCTCGCACTAATTGGTCTATTTTGATTCCTAAAGCTACTCAATCACGACGGTTCTCCTACTACGATTTTGGAGGTATATAAATATATATTATTACACTAAAAGAATAATCTATATAAAGATCTTGCAAATCAGATTTTTGCTTGTTCTTATTCTAAATGACATCTAAAAATATTTATTATTTCGGGCTGGACGATACTTAAGTAAAAATGCTATTTTTCTTCAATTTCAGTGTGTATCATTTAGTGACAGACTACAACTTAAATATGATCTCAGTTAATCCGCAATAAAGTATTTTGTTCCTTTCGCCATTTAAACAGTCGACGGGCACTCTACTTACCCGAACACGACCTTCCGTTTATTGCGAGTTGGTAACCGGTCTTACATGAGCACGTAAAGGAACCAACTGTATTAGTACAAGTGTGTTCACAACCGGAAGTTGCTCTTGCACATTCGTCAATGTCTACAAAAGAATTTAGAACAAAAAGATATAGAGAGACACTGCTGGCAATAAGCTATTTTAGTACTTTAGAGCACTTTGAAATAACCAAGAAACGGTTAAACAAAGTTTATTACGACCAAATATACTTTATAAAAATGCTTCTTGTATCAAATGTTTCTACACTTAACAGTTTGAAATAACAGTTATTTTTTCTTTAAATGTTCATAAAAAAAATAATTTGTTTACATAAAAATCTCTTAAAACAAATAATTGTCGGCATAACTGTATGCTATCATATACTATAGGGAAAACAAGATTCAGCCAGCAGTATAAAACCTGGTAAGGTGTACAGGCTGTCCTGGCTTTATACTGGTGATAAAATCAAACCAGTAGGGTATGCCTTAATAAATGTAAAACCGGTGTTTTTCATTTACTAAATTAACAATTCCATTCGGAAACTGTACGCCAAATAGCAAGTAAAGCATTGTAACTTCTTTATTTGAGGTTTTCTTTTGAGGTTACATTTACAAATAAAATCCAACCTCGACATGACTTTCCATCTGATGATAATTCGAATCCAGCTTTACAGGAACACTTGAAAGATCCAGCCGAGTTTGCGCATGCGTGGTCACAGCCGGATGTTTTCTCTGCACATTCGTCGATATCTATAAACAATAATATCAGAAGTTATCAGTAAAATGACTTATAAACACAAGAGGAAATAAATTTCTTTTAGGGTCCTCTTAACTCTTAGATTTGATCAGCCTTTATGGTATCCTTTCGTACAATGAAGACATAATTTGGAAATTTCTGCTCATAAACTGTCTTCAGATCAAACTATCGTATATTTTTCACATAGACTAACATCATAAGAAATGTTCCCTTAACATACTTTAAAATCAGTTTTGATGCGAAAGTGTGATTTTTCTATGAGAATAAAATGTCTGACATTAAAAGAATGATCTTGTGACATTAGGGTAGTCAACCAAACTTTTTGAAAATGCTTTCAAAGATAATCACGCTTTTCACTGATTTATTTTTCTATTAACCACAGAACAGATAATCTTTTTTCTAAAAATTAAAATATCATTGTGACAAATTATCCTACAGACTTATAAAATGTTTTCTTTTCTATAGCAAAATAAGTAGTGTTGTTTTCTAAAATAATTTCCGTACTTTAAACACTGTCATCCATTACCAAATGTCCCATTTTAATCTCAACTTTTAAGCCAATCGCTGGCAAAACTGAAATGCGATAATCTGACCTTTAACACCGATTAACACCGTGCGTGCCTACTAAATGTAGGTCATTGTCTTAGTCAAAAAGATACTTTTCTGAACTGTATTACTTACCTATGCAGGTGTGCTTGTCTGTGAGCAGACGATAACCGGTGTTACAGGAACACGTGAAAGATCCGTATGTGTTGCTGCATTTCTGGTTACATTTGTTCAGAGACGATGATGCACATTCATCGGTATCTGAAATCACCATGAGCTATAAATATACGAGTTGTGATTGGCAAAAATCACCATGAGCTATAAATATACGAGCTCTGAATGGTAAAAAAACATGAGAAATAAATATACGAGCCCTGATTGGTAAAAATCACCATGAGCTATAAATATACAAGCTTTTATTTGAGAAGCCCTATATTGTATTGTTTTCTCTCCTTAGAGGACCTTCTTCTTAGAGGTCCTTCCAGAATTTTGTACTTCACAACAGCAGGTGTCAAGTGCCGTGTGGCTGCCGTAAAAAGTTGCCCCGTACTTCACTTCAGTGTTGTTATATTTTCTGGTCCTTCGGGATCATTGATGCCAACACTATAAATTGTTGAGAATTGAGTACCGCTCAAGCCGGTGCTAGGGGGCGTGAGGGATGTTGCACTTATTCATTATCCCTCATGTACATACTCAATCAAACCGAGTCTGCAATTCTTATGTTATTTTGTTGTAATTAATGCTTCCGAGGGATCACTTTGTTTCCAGAATTTTACTGAATGCACAAAATGATAGGATATGATATGCACGATATATTATGGTTATAATAATTTCTTGCATCCTTTTGAATATTCAGTATGTGGGGAGCAATTTTTTGTAGAATTTCGTAGTTTAAAAATATTTTTGAACACCATGACAACCTCATGAAGTACATGAGTCAGGAGTTTATTAGCTAAAATTGAAATACATGTAGAATGGTATGAAATTATTTAAGTTGGTCCTTTTTCTAAAAAATAATTTTACCTAATGTCGATTATTTTATGACAATTTGTATTTGTACTGTGTTTATCTATAATCACAGTATATAAACGAAATCACTGTATCCTACTTTGCAAGCCTATACAATTCAATAAGTATTCTGTTTTGGGGGTACAATCACATGTTTCTCCTGAACATTTTACCTTTCTTGGAAGCCTTTATAATTTACTTGTACCCTTCTTTAGATAACAGGAAGTAGACTTGTTTACACACTGTGATTATCAGTATTTCCATATTTTACATTTGAGCAAAATGTATTTTGAATAAAGAGAAAAATGATACTGTTGGCCAAACATGTGAGAACACAACTCAACAAGGAGGGTCGACATTCAATGGATTTTTGCTTGATCCATAAAGTCTATGTACCACATGTTCATGTGTAAGAACACTGGGTATGTCAGGAGAGAGTTAAGTATATGGGTTCGTGTGAAAAAGCTCGGTACAAATCTCCGGGTTAGTTAGGAGAGAACTTTAAGTATATGTACCTTAGGTTCGTGGGTAAGAACTTCACATATGCCGACCAAGAATAACGTCTATGAAACTCAGGTTCTTTGTAAGAACTCCGGGTTTGCTAGGAAAGAGTAAAATATGTGGACCTCAAGTTCGTGTCAAAACAACTCTGGGCAGGGAATATTTTGTTTGAAATACTTACATCTTTCCTTGTAGAAAAAATGTAAGTGCTTAAAAGAGAATGAAGGAGAACTGTCTTTCTTGGTAACTGTACAGTCGGTAATTACTAAATCTGACTGCATTACACTGAAACAAAACTTGAGTGAGAGTCTGTATTTGATTAAACCAAACGTATGTGATATACATACTAATACTTGGCATTGAAAGAGTTAATTTCATTCCATAAATCTTCTATAACATAACTGATCTAAAGGCATAAAACAGTTGATTATTCTTCTAGAAAAATAGCACCAGATATTACCCGATAATAACTGAAATAACATGAATTACCTATTTCACATCTTGAGCCTTTCCAAATGCTCAGACAACTGCACGTGTAAGAATTTGGGATATTACTGCACGTGCCGCCATTTTTGCACGGGCTACTGCTACATGAATTCATATCTGAAAAAAAATAACAACATGATAACAGTGTTAAGTGTTTTTTCTATTTATTTTTCAATTAAACCGCAGAAGAATCAAACACATTTGTCGTACTTTTGTGTTTGCGCTTATTCGCATTATTGGGGTGACAATGGCAAAAAGACAAAGTTAGTCAAAAATACGACACATTATGTCATTGAGCTTTATATTAAAGTATCTGATTGAATGTGAACAAGTTGTTTTTGCATGTTCATGGCGAATGCGACATGGTGTAAATCAGCCACCATAAAATGCTTTTTTGATGTCGTAACAAGGTGTTTAAAACAGGTAAGATGCTTAATACTTTAAGAAAGTAGCACTGAATTAAAAAATTTAGAGATAAAGGTAGCAAAATGTAGACAATGCAGTATTTTGCCTTCAATACATAATAATAAATCACTTAAACTGTACTATTGCAAATATGCCAAAGAAGCTTACAATTATTCAGCTGTATGGTCAATAATGTTTATGAAACATTCAAAGAACGCCAAAAATAAACAAAAAGCTTTAGAATTGTTTTTTCATTTTTTTAAAGCTTCATGAGCCTTTAAAGGAAGCTGTGACAAGTTACGTATGAGGATGATCACGATTACTTTACTTATGTAATCATGTTCATTTTCCTGCGTTTTAAAGTATTTTATTGTAATATGCACATGTTATATCGTTCACTTTATACCCACATACGATATTGTCATATGAGACACATATAGGAAGCCAGATATACATTAAGACAAAATAGAAACATATTAGGTACATCCGTTTAAATAAATACATGTATACATATTTACTACGTAGTTACTTTCTTATCTTTTCCACGAGCATGCTTCATTTCAGTGGTTTAGTATAAAGTCATACCGACACTTTTTTATAAACAACAATGACAAACATATCTTAATATGTATACATACGCGTAATTCATTGTAGGGAAGTTTGATTTTCTGACCTTCTTTGTGTTGTATATAAACATATAACATAATCTTGTAATAACTGTCATTTTTCAATTCAAACAAGAGTTAGTTTCGTTTATCTTCTGTCAGATAAACTTATATTAGGATAAGTAGAATCAGGGTAAGCAGATGACAACATAAATGTTATTTATGTTCAGAATAATTGTATTTATGATTCGAGCATCTGTGTATCGTTTTCTGAAATATCATCTTATTCGTTTGTGCCTGCGTTTAGCGCATCATTTCATGTTGGAATTATTCTGATAAGCTTATATCAACGTTTCTGGCGGTAAAAGTGTTGTTTCAGAATATGTATCTTTGCCCTTGTGGTTGTTGATTTTTATATTTTTTATTTTATTTTATATTATGTTATACCCCTGGCGTCCGTCCTTCCGTCCGTTAGCAATTTGGTTTCCGGAGCATAACTTAAGTTCCATTTGGCCCACAATATTCAAACTTCATAGGATGATTGTCCATATTGGGTAGAAGACTCCTATTGATTTTTGTTTGGTCACAAGGTAAGAGGTCAAGGTCACTATTTCTTCAAAACTAAAAACAGTTTCCGGGGCATAATTTTAGTTCCATTTGGCCCATAATATTCAAATTTCATTGGATGATTGTCCATATTCGGTAAAACACCCCTATTGATTTTGGGGTCACAAGGTCAAAGGTCAATGTCTTCATTACCATGAAACTGAAAACAGTTTCCGAAGCATAACTTAAGTTCCATTTGGCCCACAATATTCAAACTTCATAGGATGATTGTCCATATTAGGAAGAACACCCATATTGAATTTTGGATCACAAGGTTAAAGGTCAAGGTCACCATTACCTTTAAAGTTAAAAACAGTTTCCGCTCAATAACTTAAGTATTAATCAACCTACAGCTGTAAAATTTCAAAGGATGAACAGCCATTTCCAATACATGACCCCTATTGAGTCAAAAGAACAGGGTCACAATGATCTTTACACTGAAAATTGTGATTTCTTGAGCATAACTTAAGTTCCATTTGGCTAACAGTGTTCAAACTTCATAGGATGATTGCCTATATTGAATAAAGGTCCATATCTATATTGGGGTCACAAGTTCAAATGTCAATATCAACTGACCATAATATTGTTAACAGTTCTACAACCGACAAACCTCATAGGATGAACACTTATATTGAGTACTTAAATTATATGCCCTAAAAATTGCTTATATTATGTTATACCCCTGGCATCTTTCCGTCCATCCGTCGTAGCATTTTTACTTACAAGATACAAACTTGGTAGTGGTGCTTTGAAAACAGCAACTGTATATATATGAAGGTTCTTCAGCTATAAAGGAGGATTGCTTTTTCAAGGAGGTTATACTTTTTTTAATTCCCATGTCATCCTAACTAAAAAAGAAAACACCTTCGGGCATATAATGCTCCGCCTAGCGGTGCTCTTGTTTTAATCTTATATACCAAAATATCTGGAAAAAGTGTGATCCTTCGGAGGCATCAATCACAACAAAATTACATCAACATTTCAGACACGGTTTGGTTTAGTCTGTACCTGAGGGATAATAAAAAAGTGAAACATCCCCACGACCCCTAGCACAGGCTTGAGCGGTATTCAATTTTCGAATCAATGATCCCGAAGGACCAGAAAAATATTACAACACTGAAGTGAAGTACGGGGCAACTTTGGACAGCTGTTACACAGCACTGGACACCTTCTGTTGTTAAGAATAAAAATCTGGAAAAAGTGTGATCCCTCGAAAGCATTAATCATAACAAATTTACATGAAAATTGTAGAATCGGTTTCATTTAGTCTGTACATGAGAGAAATTGAAGAAGTGTAGTATCCTTCTTTGCATCCTAACACCGGCTTGAGTGGTACTCAATTTTCAACACTTAAAAGTGTCGAAATCAATGATGGATCGGTAAAAAAATATAACAACACTGACCAAGTTTGTCTAAATGCGCTAAACACTAGCAGCACTCGTATCGCTTGTGACGGGTTGGGAGATTAACAATACAGGCAAATATGTTTTGTTTATTGATCTCTTTAGAAACTGATAAAAATAACGATTTAGTGATTAACGTTTACACTTACAGTATATAACACAAACAATTTTTATTTTAATACGTTACAGTTTCCTAGCAACAGTCAGCTAAATGTAGTCGTAAGTTGAAAAAACTATGTCGTCACAAAATCTCGAGTCTTTGAAAGAGTTTATAATATCTTATATGTTAAATTCAAACATAAACATAGTCATTAGCTCACAGTAAAAGCCTTATAAGAAGATATTTCAAAAAGGCGTTTCGTTCACAATTGGAACGAAACAAACTAGTCGTAACACATATAGTCCTGAGACAACGTTTGCAGACGACAAAATAGTTAAAAGAAATCGTAAGTTATTAAAAATGATGACAAAGAAAGATAAAGATATAAATTGCTGTAACTATGCTTTCTGTAAGCATTTGTTTTACTAGAAAGTTTTGAGAGGTAATAAGACAACACAACAACTTAATATAAGTCCATTATTTCCTATCATAAAAATGTCCGAGTCATACATTATCACAACCACATTAAAAGAACAAATGGGATATTATGAAAGAATAATAATATCTGTCACCAATTCGTCGCTTACGGAAATACGAGAAAGTGTTTACGTTGTCGTATTTTCGTGTGCGCCCCGATGAGCGTAAATACGACATGGCACAAATCAGCCACCATACACCACACAGCCAAGTGATGTTATGCTATTGTTATCGTGCTAATATTTGAGGTAATATTACATCTCACAGAATGGGGACATTTATGGTCGATCTCACCATTTGCTTGCTAGTCCGCATAGGAAGAGATTTGTTCAGGCATTTGCTGGTCACAAAGATTAAAGTTTCTGCTTAGTCCTGCAGATAGGGTGTCAGGGTTGCAAAAATGTATACAATTCATGTATAGCGTTAATACATTGTTTAACATCATGAATGTCTAGTTTTAGGGAAAATGCTAAAGTTTAAATTCACTTACATGAACATGTAGGAGGACTACCGGACCACTGAGCGTTGGACTGGCAAACACGCTTCAAAGTGCCGCCTGTTTGTCCGTATCCTGAGTTGCACGTGTATGTAGCCTCGCCCCCTTGTGAAGTACTTGTTACACTCAAACTTGTATGCGCAATGGAGCCCGGCTGTCCACAATTGGCTGAAAAATAAATAAAAAAGAAAGTTTGGATGAATATTTTTTTGTGTTGCTTCTAGAAATTGTAAACAGTGGTGATATTACCTGTCATTGTAGGGTAGCGTGCATTTCCCGCTAGTAATTTACTAACAGCAAATGTAAGGAATAAACGTCTCATGAAATCGGCTCAGTGACTTCAATAATATCACACCGTTAACTGCCATAGAACATTGTCAATAGCTCGGTAAAAGCAATGTTAGCATTATTAAATATATTTTTTTGTGTTGTAAAAAGTTTTTCTTCACAACTGGAACCAAATGTAACGACATTACCAGTCGTAAAACATACAGTGACTGTTTGAGACGACAAATTTAGTGAGATGAAATCGTAAGTTCTTCAAAATGATGACAAAGAAAAGATAAATATATACATAATAATCGAATGCTTAAATAATCAATTTGTACGCAGGTTGTGCTACCAGAAAGTTTTGAGAAGTAAAAAAAAATCACATAAAAATTTAACCCAAGTACATTATTTCCTATCATCAAAAGGAATCCTACGTAACAACAGATGAAATTCATCCATGAAATTGATAGAAATATGAATTTATATCTAATATTTAAAAAGAAAAAAATACAATAGTTATATGATGGGCGCTTACAAACACAGTTATCAGAACATATTAATATATAACTTTATTCTTTAAAGGCCCATTATGCTTCAGAAATGCTTTAATTGTCCAAAACTGTTTATTTTTGATATTTTACTGTTTGGTAAAACATGCTCATTTGCTATGTAAACATGAATTATCCGTTGCATCTTTAGCTCTGTTTGCAATCGGTATGATTATAGTAAATTAGTATTTCGTAAGGAAGTCACATTCAACCTTGTTTCTATATGTCACATAACTGCATGTTCAGCGCTACTTTTGTTTCAGTTGAAAAACACCGATTGGATTTCCGGGGCATAATGTGCCTTTGAAAATAGCCAGTTCACATATTATGAATATTTCAGTAAAGAACTAACGTGGATGGTATTTTTTACGTCGATGTCGTCTACGAAAAACAAACCTCTTTACACGAGCTTTCTTTTCTTCTTTCTCGAACTCCTCGTCGTTGCCTGGATAAATAAAAACAAAACAGATTTAAAGCATATGAATATATAAACTGCTTCTTTAAAGCATCATTCATACATATTATTGCTATTTTTTATTTTTTTTATTTTTTTTTTTTTGAAAATTTTGAAAGTGTATTGAAAACTAAATAATTGTGTAGTGAACAAAGAAAGTCTGAGTACTTTACATTTATCTCAAATTTAATTTTCTTTAAACTTTTGGCATATCTGGTAAGTACGTTATTTTGAAAGCAATACGTTTCAAGTAACATACGTGTATTTTGAATTGGTTTTGCTAGATTTGTGTAAGGAACATTGTTATTTATCAAGTTTAAATTATATAACCAGGATTTAAACAATAATTTTGTTTGAATTAAATATATTTGAACCGTTAAAAAAAAGATAAACACGTTAAAAAACAAGAAAATGTTTATCTATATAGGTTTTTTTTGCTATTGTGCTTGCAACAAACAATAACACATTCCTTTATAGCGAAAAAAATTACCTTCATTCAAAGTATGCAAACTGTTAATAAAATGTATTAAATAAATGATTTTATTTATAAGTTAGGTATAGGTTAGAGTTATGCATACTTCATCAGAGTACTTCATACTGACATAATGAGAATCTAAGTGGTTGAAGCTACAAATTTGCGGATTTGTTACATACAGTTTTGTTTCGTGGATACAAACATTCACGGGATTGTTTCCACCACGAAAAAGGAAAAAGTTCAAAAACCCGAAATAATTTCTAGGAACAGAGCATTATGAAGCGTCCGCTAGTAAATGACAACCTCTTCGCAAGTAAAATTTAGATAGTTAAGAAGTTTTATAACACTGAATCATAAGGATATATGACTGAAAACTTGCGTTAAGAAATTAAATATCACGATCCTCCAACCTCTTTGGTTATTATACAAAGTATATGGTCTGTTGTTATCTGGTATACAAAGACTTTATTGTGATAAAGCCATTGTTGAAGGGTAACGATCAGACCATGACCTAAACTTCCGTGTAGGTAACCTTACTAAAATGAAAAATGTTCGCATTCATGAGAAACTAAAGTTGGATTTAAATAGTACTGAAAGTTACCATGTAGAAAGTTTCATACTTTAAAAGATATAAAACCACCCCTCATACAAAAATATCAAATATCTCATCAGCATAAATCTAATCAATAATTATATATATTGTGATTGTTTCTGTTCTGTTTGTATCAGGTCCAATTGTTTAGAACAAATGTCGATTAATGACACTTGTACATACACTTTATTTCAAAAGTTCTTCTCACTTCTTTCCCATCCGACCCAACCCATCGCCCACCTACTGCACATTCTGCATACTTCGGTAAACCACACACTTTGTAAATACAGATAGTTCCCTTAGCAATATGTGTTCGAGACCACCAGCCTTTACAGTCCAACGGAATGTCTTCAGTGCAGCTGTCAATCTGCTTTAACTCACAAACATCACATTGCGTTTTCATCCCATTTACCTTAAATCAATAAAAAAGATAAATAAGTAAACAAATAAAAACGATGAAAAAGATATCCACTTAAAGTGAATAACCTTTATTATTTTATGTATTTGTGTGGATTACTGTTTTATCGAAGACAATTACTTTTGATAATTAATATCTAAATATAACTTCTCACAATCCAATGAGGAGACTACTTTTAAAGATTTCTCCCAAGTGGTACCTCAGTTTTAATTTTACAATTTTGACATTGTAAGGGCTGTTTAAATAAAAGCAAAGCTGAAATTGATAAATAAAGTAAAAGTAAAAAGGAAAAACACTTCCTTCAATTCATTCAAATTACCAATCATCAAATATTGTCTACATTTTGTTTCATTTTTACAGTATGAAAAATACACTTCCTTCCACTTGCAAAAGTGCTCTTGGTGACATTAAGGCATATTGAATTATCCTACGAGAAATAACTGCCTAATGCAATATGAAAAAGAATGACAGTCACCAGCCCGATAAATAAGTAAACAGCCCAGCTTTCTTTAGACAGCAAATTCCATGTTTTCCAAATTCCTTATCGCTTTTGAATGTTTACACATCTGTCGATAATTTATTATTGTCTGCAACAATCCTCAAATAAGTGCGGTGTGACAGCTGTAAAAAGTTGCCCCGTACTTCACTTCATGCGCAGGCTGGTCTGGATCCATGCTGGTCGCAAACCCATTATGTTGGTTTTGTCGTGACGCGGCTCATATATATATATATACAGACACAGAATGAATAATAACACAAGTGAAAGCACGAACTTTTTTAAATATGAATACAATGACCTCGGTAGTGCAAAATCAAAGCTAAACAACCCTGATTTATGTTTTATACAACGTACTGTAGGATCATAAGATTGTGAACATTCTTTAGGACAGCTGATTTTTATGCATTGACTTGTCCAGCTTCCATTTTCATTTTAAAACTATTTATTGTCTTTTGGGGGTTTATCAAGACAAAACAGACAATCAAATGTATAGACGCTGGTTAAAATGAAAAGCAACGAACAACATATAAGATACCTTACTTATAAAACAATCAATTATCAATAGACACACAAAAGCACAGAATTCAAAAATATGTATATTTACACAATTAAACGATCTATCAGATATAATGACGTTAACATTATCATAATTAAATTGTTTGTTTCTCAAGTCTCAGCCATTACATTTCAGTCTACAAAACATGTTTACAACATATTATTCCTTCCCATTGCAAATCACTTGTTCCAGAATATTCTTATCAAACACAGGTTTTGACGGGCCATATTCTTGAGCAGGCATAGGTCCGTATGTGAAAGGTTTAACATCCGTCATCTCTACTTCCTTTTCTACCTCAGCTAAGTCTTTCGACGATTTGAAATATGTAACATCAATACGATTTAAATAATCTTAACTAACTTGTAATTTCAGATATAATTTTATTTATCTCGACTTTATAACTGGTTGGTAATCAAACCTGTCACAAGTTTAATAATTTTTTATATGTGGAGCTTTCAACATTTTTATATGAAATAAGTGTAAGAGTATTTTAGGTGATACACAAAGCCAGAAAATGTCATTACCGGTATAATTATTCATAATTGATATGCCATTTTAATGACGTCATTCATTGACTTACATTGATTTGACGTCATGACGTTTTAATATAAAAAAATATAATAGGATGGTTTGATGAATGACAGTGTTTTTCTAAAGAAACAATTATAAAATGACAAACCTGGCCTTTATGTAAAGATATGCGCCAATTGTAGCGAATATTGCAACAACAAGAACGCAACATGATGCAGTCACAACTGTCAATAGAGATGGAATAACAATTTCATGATATACGACATTATAGATTATTACAATCTTTCGTGATTTGCTTAGCCGTAGACGGTTATGTGACGGATAGACCAAACAGTACAGTTTTTATGCTCCCCGAAAAATTTCGTGGGAGCATATAGTCGGCGCCTTGTCCGTCTGTCCGTCTGTCCGAGCAAACATTTTGGGTTTAGGGGCTATATAACAGTAAAGAGAACAAAAGAGAACAATAGGTTCATTCCGTGATCAAAGGGTTTATGGGCTAGTAGCCCTTAAGAAAACAAAGAAAATAACAAAAAAATAGCCCCTAAACCCAAAATGTTTGCACGTCCGTCCGTCCGTTTGTCCGAGCAAACATTTTGGGTTTAGGGGCTATATAACAGTTAAGAGAACAAAACAGAACAATAGTTTCATTCCGTGATCAAAGGGTTTATGGGCTAGAAGCCTGTAAGAAAACAAAGAAAATAACAAAGAAAATAGCCCCTAAACCCAAAATGTTGGAACGTCCGTCTGTCCATCCGTTGTCTTGTCCGGAGCATGACTTGAAAACCCTTGGAGATAATTTGTTTAAACTTCATACAGTGGTAGAGGGCATTGAGGGGGAGTGCAGTGTCAAAGAACCATAACTCTATTTTGCCCGGTTTTTGAATTATCTCCCCTTATAGAAAATTTTGTGCGGGACATAACTCTAAAACTATAAGAGATATCAACATGAAACTTTGTAGGTGAATAGATCTCAATGGGTAGATGTGCATTTTATAAGAACATGTATATTTGTTTTTATCAACATTCGAAATACTAATGGAAAACGTGCCAATTGTAGACTTACCGACTTTAAGGTTACATGTACAGACTCAATCAAACCAAGTCTGCAATTCTCTTGTAATTTGTGCCCATTGTAGACTTACCGACTTTAAAGTTACATGTACAGACTTAATCAAACCGAGTCTGCAATTCTCTTGTAATTTTGATGTGATTAATGCTTCCGAGGGATCACTTTGTTTCCGGAATTTTATACTTCACAACAGCAGGTGTCAAGTGCCGTGTGGCAACCGTAAAAAGTTGTCCCGTACTTCACTTTAGTGTTGCTATATTTTCTGGTCCTTCGGGATCATTGATGCCAGCACTATTAAGTGTTGAGAATTGAGTACCGCTCAAGCCGGTGCTAGGGGGCTCGAGGGATGTTGCACTTATTCATTATCCCTCATGTACAGACTCAATCACACCGAGTCTGCAATTCTTATGTAATTTTGTTGTGATTGATGCTTCCGAGGGATCACTTTGTTTCCAGTTTTTTTATTGAGCCTTTTCATGGACTGTTTGTAGTTATACACAATCAATAACGGTAAAATATAAGTGATACAGCATATGTTTGTATGTCAGATAGACGTTACATAAATGTCTGGGTTTTACAAGTGATCAATTTAAGTATTATTATAAAAAGAACCTAGAAGAATCAGAGACAAGTGAGTTTAATTGGAGAATCATAGACGACTTGTTCTGTAATTTACATGTAAGAAATTTTGTTAATTTTCCTAATTTATTTCATTTCTTACTAAGTATTATTATTCTAATATTGTCAATTATTCTTGTGTTTAAATAATAATCTACTTACTACCCTTTTGATGAATGATTTTTATATTGTATATTACTTGTCTCTAAACTATGATTAAGTGATTTATGTTACCACTGTATCAACTTTTACTGAATTGTCTTAATGTTCGTCTTCTGCCTTGCTTCGTCGGGCCCTTGTAGGAGATTTTCTTGTTGCTCTGTCTTCCTTTAGGACATTGAGTCCTTTTTTATGGTCATTGGGTTTACTTTTATTTGTTTCTACATAATCATTTTGGTGTTTTACTTATTTAACCTTTTGTAACCATAACAACTGTTAGAATTTCAATTGGCAGGGATTCATTTTATTTACTCTGTCTCGTTTATAGGAACATGGTGGGGCTAAGAGTAAGGTTTGGTTCACCATTAACCGGTTTAAACTCGCCAGCAGTACTTGTGCTGCTGACCGTTCCAAGGCGGCGCCCCTCTGTGTTCCTCAGATGTATGTCTATGTAGTTTCATACTGTTTTGGTGACACTTTTGCTTGTGTCCCTTGTTGTTTTCATGTCTACGGTAAGTATCTTCCTCTTTGTCCCTAGTTTTTTATTCTTTGATTTACCCCCCCCCCCCCACCTACCCATGGTCATCTGTCCCCTTCCCCTGTGCCCTTTGACTTTGTGGGCTTATTATTCAATCGTTTATTTGTTTCCTTTGTATTTCTTATCAGTTACAAATTATTTCCTTTTTTCAATCATTAATTTGTTTCCTTTGAATTCCTTATCAGTTGCAAATTATTTATCATTTCTCTTAATTAACCTGTCCGTGCTCTGTCTTGTGCTCTGTCCTGATTTTGTTTGGGGTCCGCCTAGGCTCCTTGCCACTGGTTCATGTTGCTGAGTTGTAAGGGGGTTGCGTTCATTGAACGCCGCCTTTCCTTGTTGATCGTGTTATCATATTTTTCACTTTAAAATGAAAGTTGATAGTTTAGTTAAAGAACTGTAATACTATGTTTAAATAACATTTACATTACGATACTAATGTATATAGATAGTAAGGTGCATGTATTGTGCATTAGGTATGTTAATGTTCTTTCCCTTGCTTTTGTATTCATTGATGTACTATTATATATATTATTTTATACATCACTGTTACATGATATTATTTTTACCATATGTAAAAACGTCAGTTTCACTGGAGAATTATAGACGACTTGATCTGTTTTTTTTACAGCATATAGATTTACAAAGTAACCGGCGCTAAATATACTACGCTGTATAAACGCACTGTTACAACACCAATGGTAAAGATATCATGTAATTTAATGTTACTTTAGCTTTCTCAGGTTAAAAAGGTATGCGAATATATCACATGTACAATTATTTATCGCTATATGTGTGGATATCTTGGGTGGGTTGTTTTCGGGGTATATTTTTGGGTATCTTAGGAGGAGGTTTTGGGGGATGCAAATTCACTTGTGCTTCCAATGATGTAAGGAGGTGAATATCAAACTAACAAACTAGTCTAGACGTATGACATACTATAATATCAGAAGAAGATACATCTTCTTTTTTTCTTCTTTTATTCTCACTTGCAAACATATGGAGTGTTCGTCCTCTTGGTTATTTTGTTGCTTTTTTGGCATGTGTATTGAATAGAACCTATATTGATTGTAGATCGGTTTTAACGAATTAAATAAGACTTTTAAACAGATGTTTATGTCCTTATACAATCCGATCTTCGATATATGCATGACTTAACCGAGAAATTTGAACTATTAACCAACCATTTGTCATGCTTTGCACTGGTTAGTATAACCGAATCTTAGAAAAAGTCGTTGTATAGAAAGCGTTGCAAACAAATTCACAATGAAAAATCAGCTAGATTCTCATGAAAGCCTGAGGCTTATTTGAGCCAGTCATGAGTACGTGTACTTTTCCTAAAACTAACCAGTACAGGCGTCAAAAGACAAGACATAGTTGTCGTCCCAGTACGACTCGAACCATTTATTCCGGAGTAGAGAGGATGATATGTTACGTACACTCATTGCTTATATTCTACTTAGATCTGCATTTCTACGCAATTGGATGATATTGATCATTTTAGTTTAGTTCAAATATATTTGTGATTTAGAAACATTTTTACAAATTTTATAAATTATACACGGATTCGCTTTCTGATAATTTGCCCACGTTGAAAAATATGATAATGACTCAAGTAAAACAAGTCGAATCCAGGGTATCTGGATTGGGTAGCAGACACTTTAACTACAATGTCACGGCTAACCATTTGTTGTGGAGATAAATAAGTCAGCATTATTACAATATTCTCACCATATAAAAATGAGTTTTAGAAATATTAAAATAAAACTTTTAGACTTTAATACTATGCATTCATAATTTTTCTTTATAAAATACTTATCAATAATAATTAATAAATATTTTTTAATATACCTTGTTTGTACTAAGTCCAATAATTAGCGCAACAGATGTAATAAAATAAACGACTCTCGCCGACATTTCACTTGAAAGTTAAAGAAATTCATGCAAGTGTTCTTTCTTTAACTCTCATCAATGGATTACATAAACATACATACACACAGTATACAAATGAAAGCTGAACTACGACGAAAATTCATGCACGCTTACAATTTACATTAAAATTATCTGCCAAAAGTGAAACCAGAGCCTAGCTAGTTCACGCTTCAGAGAATTAAACAAAGTTTCAGTTTTGTAATGTGATATTTTATTTCTTCATTTTGGACAAAAATTTTAAAGATCGACATCTTTCTGTTTTCCTTTGTCATCACTTGTATGAAAAACTGAAAATCTGTTCAAATGTGTAATGGCACTGTACAGGCATTTGTCTTCAACGAAGACTCGAGGAGCATATAGGATAAATTTAAAGCAAAGTTAATGCATGTATATCCGATAAAGCTAATTTTACATATTGGAACCATGTCAAGGTGATTGCAATCGAGCATACATAAACTAGACATTCCCAATTTCTACTAATCAAAATGCATATACAAATAATGCATTGGATTTGACAGAATTTGTTTAAAAAAACAGTTTAACATCTTAGTCCCTGAACTTCATAATCCGGAAACTTTTGAAACCCGACGATTGCCTGGGTCCCGAAAATCTATATTCTATACGCATTTTTAAATAACAAAACTTCCAAAATGAAATTAATGTTCGGATAAAGGTACTGTATGTGTTTTTAAGATAGCACAATATTACATTATGAATATCGCGTTTGTGATGATACTGTGGCATATGTTTTTGTCTCTAAAAATCACCAAACAGTATATAAGCGTTAAACAATATCACCATTCCCAATTGGTTTACTGATATATATTCATAAACTGTTCTGAAGAGACAGAAACAAAAACTCAGCTTTGGTCCTCGCCATGGCCCTCCAAACATAGTTTTTGATGATCTAATAAGTATGATTAATTAGTAAAATTAACTTGTCCATCTTCCATTTTAGGGCTGTGTAAAAGATGGCCCTGGACAAAGTCATAAATAAGTCAATATTAAGGATCAATCACTTACTGTCCGCAAACACAAGGCGCTAAAGGGTTTCAAGAACCAAGTTTAAAGATATGTCACCGAGTTACTGGCAGATCAGGCAGAGTTATAATGGTCTAAGGTATGATTTCGGTGATTCAGTATATTGATTATTTATCATCCAAGGTCTAATTTTAAAGCCAAATATGTCAAAAACAGTACCTCATTGGCTGAAAACTACTCATGTAGAAAAACTCAGTTCCAATATTATTTCGTGATTATTCCATAACCGGCTAATATGTTTGCTAAATTAACTTGTCCATCTTCAATATTTAGCTCGACTGATTTGAAGGAACACTTTTACCTATTGTTATATTCATTGTGACTTTCCTATTGCCGTCCACAACCTTTAAACTTGATAATGTGTGTTTGTTTTTTATTGTTTTTACTCTCAAAGTATTGTCTTCAAACTTAGACACAACGGCAGTGTGTAGATCAGAAAGAACTTCATCCTTAAGTGACTTTCACCTTTAGCATCAAATGTTTGTTGAAACATACTTTATGTTTTGCTATAATTGGATAAAACTTTTTTTATGAATGAAATGTTTTCATACTTGGAAACATTAACCTTGAAACCATTAACAGACAGCAATAACCTCGTCCTTGTTGACCTTTATGTATTATCACTATCATTATGTTTTATTGTTATAACTTAATTAATAAATGGAATGTAACCATACTTAGACACAAAAATAATATTTTCAAGACAGTTAACTATCCATTAAGACAAAAACCATTCTAAGTTTTTCATTTCTAAACTTTTTACTTTGGTGTTTTGTTACAGTTTCGTGTGTTTTATATTTCATTCATGTGAACTATATACACTTAAACGAACACAATTACCATCTCAAAATGTATTATTTTCTGAGAGTATAAAGTTTAATCTATATTGAAATTATTTTATAAAATTTATAAACGGTAAAGTTATTTTTTCTCTCTGTGATATAACAAACATGATTATTACACATAAACATAATAAAATGAACCGCGTCATGACAAAACCAACGTAATGCGTTTGCGACCAGCATGGACCCAGACCAGCCTGCGCATCCGCGCAGTCTGATCAGGATCCATGCTGTTCGCTAGCAGTTTCTCTACTTGTTATAGAGTTTATAAGCGAACAGCATGGATCCTGATCAGGCTGCAGGCTAGTCTGGATTCATGCTGGTCGCAAACCCATTATGTTGGTTTTGTCGTGACGCGGCTCAAATGTTCCTGTGTCGACATCGGTTGCTATTTGAATTAGGTTTTAATCGATTAAGAAAGATTTCCCGTAAGAGAAATACAAAGTCTGTAAACTACAATCAGCAGATATATAATTTTGCACACTTTAAAAATGCTTTTGATCAAAAACGCCGATATAATACTAACAAGTTCTTTATCAAGCATTTTCTTAATATCTTTTTCCTACAAAATTGTAAAATTCCATAAAAAAATAATAGATCTAATATAAATCAAAATGTTTGTTTTTCAGACTTTCTGCAAAAGTTTTTTTTTTGTAGACATGTACTATGTACGAGGGCTGTCCAAAAAATTCGTGCACTGCAGTTATTGTCGTGAGATTTCTTGATAGAAAAACATTAATTATATATCACTTGAAAGGGAGATCTGTGTCCAATGAGAAAACAAAAGAAAATTACGTGTAACCGGCATGTCGTACAAAAAGGAATCGTCATACAGTTACCTTGGTAACGTAATACCGGCGCACGACAAAAAATTGGGTTGGTTCATTACTTTGATGCATCACAGTATTCTTTAAACACTACATATAAAAGTTAAATTCAGGGGGAAAAGTATGTGTACGTATTCCTAACGTCCCCTATAAAAAATATTACGTCATTTACCCTATTGTTAACGGTCGTAAACAAAATTTGTGTGAGGTCGTCAATACTGTAATTAAGTGAAAATGTCAGTCGCTTAAAACGTCTGGAAATACGGAAGATCAATTATATTTTGTGCAAATATTGGTCAAACACCAACAGATACCTACACAGTACTTAAAAGGCAAGCAGGGGACAAGTTCAGTGTCACGAAAGGCTGGTTTTCAAATGGCACAAACGCTCTGTAGAAGGGTGAGAGTGGGTAGACGATGACAACCGGTCAGGCAAAACGTCCGTCCGTAATGCCGGGACTATTTGAGGGGGTTGTTCAATATATTCGTTCACTGGTGGGATATTTTACATGTCCGTTGCATAAGAACAATAAAAAACTACAAAATACTTTACATCAATCATTCTCTTTTGACAGTAAAACAAATTTCATAACATAAAAAAGCAAATGCAACTTTACAAGCAACAAACAATTAATGCAATTACAGTTATGAACTAAGCAATGTTTTGCCGTGCGCCGGTATTACGTTACTAAGGTAACTTAATGACCATTCTTTTACACGACACGCCGGTTACCCGTATTTTTCTTTTGTTTTCTTATTTGAGACAGATTTCCCCTTCAAGTGATATATAATTCATTTCTTTTTATTAATAACTCTCACAACAATTACTGCAGTGCACGAATTTTTTGGACAGCCCTCGTATACTCTTTTAGTAATATAAAATTATTTCATATTTAAGTCTATTAATTAATTCATATACACGTATCTAATTAATGATAAAACATGAGCATGTGATAACATCAAAAAAATATGACAGACTAAAATTCCAACATATCACCCAACACAAATATCTCGTTGTGATATCTTTCATATAAAAACAACAACTCAAAACAATAGCACACAAAGAAAATGGCAGACATAAGTAACCATCAACATCATTATTTGAGCCGCGTCACGACAAAACCAACATAATGGGTTTGCGACCAGCATGGATCAAGACCAGCCTGCGCATCCGCGCAGTCTGATCAGGATCCATGCTGTTCGCTTACCAACCCTTTTACAAGTAGAGAATATGATAGCGAACAGCATGGATCCTGATCAGACTGCGCGGATGCGCAGGCTGGTCTGGATCCATGCTGGTCGCAAACCCATTATGTTGGTTTTGTCGTGACGCGGCTCATATATATATATTTATTTAATTTTACCCATGAAATATGGTGCTATATCAGTCAAATATATTTCATATCTTTTTTAAAAATAAATATGAAATATAAATTATGAAAATGGGCGGAGTCCAAAACTCATATTTTATTTTCAAGGGGAACTTCTTTCGCCGTTTTGTTTGAAAAATCTGATATAATACAAAAACTTTTTCTTGAATTTTGTTTTTGAAAAATCTTCAGCATGATAGAAAATGGTCTAATTTTAAGAAAATTAAATCCGAAACACCAATATCTTTAATTCACAGTAAATTAACGCTGTAACAGACGTTTAAAGAGTTTGTTTACATGAAGTCAACAATGTAGCGCCAAACAGCGGCGGTGCTTTACGCAATAAATTACTGCCGCTTCTTGTACAATTGCAGTTGGTAGCAAGCAAGGGGATTCGTTTTACCAATTTTCTTTTGATAATGAAATATTAAATAAAAAGGTTTATTTTTTCGTTTTTCCGTGAAATATGGTATATGATTTTCACTCAACATATAAAATGATCCATGATTTTTCAAACTCGCCACGTAACCGGCTCGTGAAAATATGTGGCAATTTTATCATGTTTTTCCGTGAAAATATATTCCATATTTTCACGCAAAACGAAAAAATATCCTCTTTAATATATACAGGGACACAGAATGAATAATAAGAACAAGTGATCATAAGATTGTAACATATCTTTGGACAGCTGATTTTTATGCATTGACTTGCCCCCAGCTCATTTTCATATTTTAAAAAACTATTTATATTGTCTTTTGGGGGTTTTATCAAGACAAAACAGACAATCAAATGTTATAGACGCTGGTTAAAATGAAAAGCACGAAACAACAACATATAAGATTACCTTAACTTATAAAACAATCAATTATCAAATAGACACACAAAAGCACAGAATTCAAAAAATATGTTATATTTACACAATTAAACGATCTATCAGATATAATGACGTTTAACATTATCATAATTGAAATTTG